AATACTGATATCACTCTATTGTAACTACTCCAATCTTAAAAATCACTTGTCGCCTTCGCCTGTACCCTAGAACCCAAGTTTACACTGATTACTTGTACAGATTTCAATCAGAGCTCGAACAATGTTGATTGTGTGGCGTCGTCATATGAAATGGGACATACGGGACGAAGGGTTACAAATGGGGACGTTGCGTACACTCGCTTCTTTATGACCCGTTGTGTGCATCATCACCCTTTGTTGTCAACTCTTTGATGCTGGATTTTGTTTCATAATTTTATTGTAAAATAACGGTAAAAGTGTGCCATCTCGAACACATGGTATTTTATAAGTTTTTTTTTGAACTTCATCATCAGCCTATCGCAGTCCACTGCTGGACATAGGCCTCTCCCATTGCACGCCACTTAGATCGATTTTGGGCTTCTTTTTGAACTTACTTCCTAGTAAATAATCCTAACGTCGTTCATTATACGTAGTTGTTATTTTACACTCAAATTCATCTAGTTTATGACCCACTAAATATATAATGATTGTAATGTATTAAAGATGGTTAACATAATATTTTCTTTAATCCTGCATCAAACAAAATTACGATTCACTCGCTCAACATCACAGTAATAAGGGTGGTTTAAACCAGTTCCTTGACCGTTTCATAGACTCTGTATTATGTCACAAAGATGTCCCCACTCGATGTCTTATAAATTTATAAATAAATAAACGTTAGCTGAACAAGAATTACCGGTTCTCTTTCATATAATTAATGACCTTGTTGATATGTGGGGTGAATAATATGCATAGTTTAACAGATTAAGATTTTACTTAAAATACATGGGAAGCTAGGCCACAACATGCTCTGTAGTCAGGATTACTCACACAGGAGTTCAAAGAAATTGAGTTTAGTGGAAATGTTTGTTCAGACACGTGATATAGTGTGTATGTATTTGATGATTTTAACCCTTAAGAGGGTGAAATCATATTAGAAAGATGTATCCACTTTAAGCTTTTAAGTCTTCCAGACGTGTAGCTGGAAGTAGTTTCGAAATTATTTAAGTCGGTATCATTTTGAAAGTTTAAGAGTTGTGAAACAATAAAATATCATCTAAATAATTCTAAAATAAAAAAACCAAAACTCAAATCAAAACTGTGCTAAAGCTAGATAAGGTTAAATTAGTTGATAAAAAATTAGGTCCGTGTGGTGACGGATTAAGAATACAGAGTGTCACCACCCCTATTCATCCCGTGGGTGTCGTAAGATCAGACTAAGGGAGAAAACTATGCAGAACAACAGCACTGCAGAGACAAGGAAAAATTGACACAAGCCCTATAAAAACCCATCTGGCGAGCGTTGTATAGTATGCCAAAACCTCCTTTCTAAGGAGAGGCCTATGTCCAGCAGGGGACTATTAAAGGCTGTTGATGTGATGATGTGAGTAGATAAATAAATGCCTATAATAGTTATTTATCGATCTGGCCAGTGTGGTATAGTGGGTCAAAGCCCTACTTTCTATTTCTATCTAAATTTATTCTAATTATTTTTATTCTAATAATTTCTATCAATTTTTTTTAACACAAACATACTCTAAATTATTTGCCTCTTATCAAGGTTAAGCTATTTTGTGAAGTCAAGAGTCTGCATCTAGTGGTCTGTCATAGACTACTAATGAGGCTTCAGCCAAAGTACACGATTTGTTTTAATGAAGGCTAGAAATATATATATCATAATAATATATATATCTCACACATCTCACACACGGCCGTCTGATCCCAAACTAGGCAGAACCTGTACTATGGTAACCAGACTGCTGATAAACATACTTATATATTTTTAAATACATACATATTATAGATAAACTACACCCAGACACAAAACAAATGACCGTGCTCATCACACAATATTTGTCCTGGGTGGGAATCGAACCCACGACCTCCGGTTTAGCAGTCAGGGTCACTAACCACTAAACCAACAGGCCTGGCCAAATGGTCTGGAGGACTAATTTTTACCGTTTTAATGGTATTGTTTTATTTAATTTACCAGTTAAACTTCAATGTATGTGCTTCTATACCATGATAGGCTAAAAATACTATACTACTACCTACCTACCTACCTACTATACCCTTTAGCTATAAGTAACCGTTTATACACAATTATAAATTTATAGCAAATATTTAAAACACAAATTAGATTTAAAAGTTTGGTATTCTGTACGTCTTCTACGTCCAACGGCGGCTGATTTCAAATTTGGCTTTTTTGCTTTGTTCGAATTTACTTAAAAAATACGTATGAAGAAAGCTCTTTATATTTCAAAATATTTATAATACATATACATAATTTTGTATGTATACTCTATATCTATGTATTAATTAATTCTGAAAATGATCGCTGCCAGACCGGACTGCCCATTCCAGAAACAATGGGTTGGGACAGTCATAGGTCTATACAAATAGTTAATTTAAGTAAAAATTTAATTACTAATAATACTAACCTATCAACTTAAGCACTATTGTTACTAACACTAAAATACTAACATAAATATGGACCATAAGTCTGAAATAAACTTTTATTATTATTATTATTAATGAAAATATATTAGATTATCACTGGAGATACACATGTCCACCAAATTTGAGTCTAGACGGACATCGGGAAGTGGTTGTAATTTAGCTTCCAAAATTCGTGCCGAACACACATACATACTTATTAATAAGTATAAATGTTAATTTATTGGGTCGATGGTCGATGGTCCAACATTAATAAAACCTTAATTAACAAAGTGTATTAGTTTAAGTTGGACCATAGAGCTTTAACTTACAACAATATTTAAAGTTTTAAATGGTCTGCTAGATTAAACTTTTGAATTTATACTTTCACTCCATTCTGAATGTAATGTTCTAGGTCCAAAGTATAAGCATACTCTTTAAAGTTAAATAAAAATATAACTTACATTAACAGTCGCAGGTTTTATGATACGTGTTCGTTACGTCTGCTTATAAAAATATATAATTATGCTTCTGTCAAAGCGATAAAATTTCCTAGGTGTGGTGTAGTTTAACGCTAGGTGTGGTTACAGTAGGCTATAACAAGTAGCAGAATAATAATAACTAGAGTTCATCTGTACGTCAAAACTGCCATCTAAACTTAAAATTATAAATTTGTAAAAGTTTCATTCTTTGTTTAAACGCGCCGATCTTGGAAACTACTCGTTGAATTAATAAAAAACTTTCTGTGTTGGAAAGATTTTTCCTTAAGAAATATTATAGACTATGTATTATCATTTTACGACTCTAAGGCACAGAACAGTAACCATCAACGAGTAGCGGGAAAACCTGGCGATGCGGTGTAGAACGGACTCAAATGAAAAATCAAAAAAAGTATGTAGGTTATGATGGAAATGAGCGAAACTTAGAATATCCTTAGAATCACGTAACTGAGTCGTGTTAAATTATAGTAGAATAACGTGTTAAATTATAGCAAATTGCTTATGATGCTCAACAATGGACGATCCTTTGTGAATACACACCTTATACATTGATTGAGCCGTATATCATAGGGTTCTCACACGTTGATTCATATTTTGCTGTTTATTTAATGGTATCAGGGGTCAGACATTTCACTTGATGGTAAGTGACTATCGCCACCCATAGATCCCCAGACTCAAGTGAGTTGCCCTCCTTGAGTGCACCAAGAGAATTAAACGGTGGTCACTCACTAGATGAAACGCAATTTAAAAATGCTTAACGTCAGCTTTCTGTGTGAAGGTGGTAACACTCCGGTAGAGATGGCTCATTTGTGCTGAAGTATTGCTCGTCCACGATAAACAATGATAATAACGTTTTAAACTTTACTTTTAAGCATTTCAGTTTACCTTCTGTTCGCGTATACTAGCTGATGGCTGATTTAACTAGCTAGACTATAAAGCTGTACATAATAACTTGTTGATATTCTAAAATGCTTTTTTAACTTCAGAAATCAGTTACTGTTGTAGATGTACCAAATAATTACGAGTGGATAGACATACATACATTTAAACAAAAAACAATACCCGCTTTTTGCAATTGAACCGCCAAGCTCTGTGTTCAGTTCGTGGAACTTGTCGAAATTGCTGTTTACATGCACAGCTAGTTCTACATGCACATACTGAGCGTGTTATAGTTCCATAAACTTTGTTTTCGTTGATAACTGTTGGTTTTATTATCGTACATTCCCTCAAGGGTCACATATATGAACATGACATACAGACATACGCACCTTAAACGTGTAATGTACCTTTTTAAAACAGAACAAAGTTCTTGTAAAAAGGTAGGTTACGCATTTACGTTTTTATGAAATCTTTCATTTTACTATTGACTTACAGTAAACAAATCTAGAACATTTAATGCACCAGAACAACTCTCTCTCTCTCTCTCTCTCTCTTACTACAAGAGAATGGTGTGCTTGTATATCACCTATGTTGAATCAAAACCCAGAATATGAAAATATCCTTTAACGGCAATTATGGTTGTATGTAAATTAGTTACAACAGCCTTCATTCAATTAAATAACTAATTCAAGTGGACTATACATAATCTCGCAGAGTACCTATGCCTCTATGTAAATATACTACTCTGTTACAACAAACTTCGTTTAATCAAATAAGTAATTCAAGTGGACTAATAATAATAATAATAAATCTCTTTATTGTACACCAGGTATAAATATATAAAGATTAACTTAAGCTAGGTTAGACAGGTACAAATGGCGGTAGAGTATCTTGAAAAAAAATAAAAATACTAGAAACTATGACTAAAAGAGTTTATAAGGACCCTGTAACTGTGTGAGCCGAATGATACATAAGTGTTTATGTATATATTTAATCATTTTCAATAACAACTTAGCAAATACAAAAATATCACATACGTAACTTCACGCCTGGCTTTCTCAGAGTAGGCAGAATCAACCGCCGTACATTTGTCTTTATCATCACCTATATAACGACGAAATTGCTAAGCTTTATTTTTCTTTACAGGTCGTGTAAACGGTGACGTAATGACCCAAGCCCACGAACCACTGAACATAATGGATAACACACCTGCAAACTACTCAACAAAAACGAAACGAGGCATTTACCTATCAAAGTACCTCGCTATAATAATCTTGGTTATATTTGCGTTAGCTCTCGTCACAGCCTCACTTTTAGTCTATAATTACGCAGCATGTCCAAGACAGGACCAGCTGGCGAATGTCACAAAATACGAACTATGTCACTGTGATCAAACAAAATTGCTAGTTCTCCCTCTTACTACGGATAGCAGTCGAAGTGTTATTCCTATTGAAACAACCACAGTGGCATCAGTCCCTAACGTTCTAGATCTAAGGTTACCAACAAACGTAAAACCAGAAAAATACTATCTGAAAATTACACCATACATCTATGATGGTAATTTTACGTTTGATGGAGAAGTAAGCATCGTCATAATAGCAGTAAATGAGACGAAAGAGATCACCTTCCATGGTGTAGAATTAACTATACACGATATAAAAATCTACGGAAAAGAAGACGAACAACTAATAGAAGTTGTTAAAAGAGTTGAAGACGCACCTCGTCACTTCCAAGTATTAAGTTTAGGAAGTGCTTTAGAGGTTGGGAAAGAATATGTCTTAAATATTTCTTACACTGGAATATTGAATGATAATCTCCACGGATTTTATAGAAGTTCATATAAAGATGAAGGAATAACAAAGTAAGTACTTTATAGTTTTTTATTTATTTTTACTAGAAAATAGTTCTATGAAAAAATTTACACTTCATCTTTACAGTGAAATTGAACAAACCTATTTTTTAGACATCCTTTAAATGGATAGATTTCGATGGAAATTGGCTTATACATTTGTAATTGGTAACAGAAGTTAATATTATTTCTTCCAATTGATTTTATTTCATGCATGGATTATATGTATTTACTGCATTATATAATATAGGCCTTGCATTCCATTGCAATTACGAGCTGCAGCGAACTCTAACTCACAATATAATATTTTTAGATATCAACATGCGATCTTGACCATTCAATACTACACAAAAGTCACGTGTATTACGATGTCTCGATTTGAAGCGTTCACACACCGTTCAGAATACAAATGTTAGATTAACGCTAATAAAAATATCCATTGAGATTGTCCCATTTATAATGGCGCTTTTAATGGCTCTACTTAGTGTTAGTCAATAGATTGTTGATACAAATTTTATTGTGTTATCTTTAGATGTATTTTAAGGCCAACTTAATGGAAGTTCTTGCATCGACAATGCGGAAACCTATCTTAATATTGTGATCAGTAACATTCAGTTATTGTCAAAAATATCCGTAACACGGTCGGTATTCTTCAAACTTTGCCAAAATTATGCCGGTTCTCTTGGAGTTCTGTAACAGCATGGCGAAGAGATCCAAGGAGTCACGACTCTTTAGCTAAAATAAAACATTAAGCTAGTAATACTGAAGATCGAAAATGACCGAGTTCTCATACACAGTGGGAACATTATTTAAGGCGGGAAATAAAAAAATCGTGCTTTTACTTCTTTTAATCTTCTAGAGAATAGATGAACTAAAATTTTCGCCTAGAATTATATTCTATCCCTACTATAAGTGGATCTGTCATACAACAGCTTGCATACTTAAATAATCTTTCTAAGTATTGTGGATAACTTTTAGGGAGATATTATTCATGACTCGATCCGAAAATCACAAAATGTCGTTGCCGTGAATATAAGAGCTTAGGTTTTATCGGCATTTTTACTATCTTAAATATCATAATTTCTAACGTTATTAATAAAAAATGTTTTGAAAATATATTTACGAATGTCTTACTGAACAGACGATGATGATTAATATTTGATTACCAGATGGATAGCTGTGACCCAGTTCCAGGCGATGGATGCACGCCGCGCGTTCCCATGCTGGGACGAGCCAGCCCTTAAGGCACGATTCACTATTAGTATTGCAAGACCTAACAATATGACGTCATTATCTAATATGAACATCGTGAAGAATGAGCCACAGTAAGTATCTTTTGGAACTGGACTTACTCTTGATATGGTACTATAAACGGTATATTTATCATGTTTTTTTTCGAGAATTCGTTTCCGATATTTCGGCGATCATGGCGCTTGCAATAGGCAAGCGTCATGATCGCCGAAATATCGGAAACGAATGAACTGAGTGACTGCGATTGGAAGGTTTTGCTTATGAGCAGATAGTATAAGAACTAGAAAAAGGCTAGACGGATTTGTCTGCTCCCGGTATATAATAATTTATAAAGTGAAAAGAACCATGGTAGTTTAAATCAATGATTTTCTCTATTCGGGAGCCGGCGAAGTATTAGTAACCAATAGTATTCAGTATACTTTGATTGATGAAGATTTGTAGACGAGTCTGTTTCATTTTAATAAACAAGTGTAACTTATTGCACTGCACCAAACCATCGGAAGTTCCGTATAGGCTAGGTAACAATAATTACTATTTGACGCAAATGTGTCACAAAAAATAGCAAATGCTGTTCCATTGTTTTTCGTATTGTATTTTGATTTTAAAAGCAGACGTTGTTTTGTAAGTGGAATACCAGTATCAATTGACTTAATGCATGGACTCCTTAAGTTGTGTACATTCATAATAATATGTAAAACTCTTCGTCTCATCATGACGTTTTTGTCATGACATCTATACTCTGTAGTCCAAAGTATTTTCTTTTAATTTTTTTTGTGATATGAATTCGGGCCTTTCTGGAATTTTGGCCTTTTAACAAAGATAGACACTTATTAAAACTTACCAAAATATAAGTAGTGAAATCTTGTTTTGCCACAATTTTTATGATTGTACTATCGTGCAAGAACTAATCTGACATTGGCTATAATACTGAAAGAACGATAAATTCCTCGATTCATTAGTGTGTTTATTTGGATGTCACTATATATAATATAGCATAACCAATACATGTAAAACTAATAATTTATAACGTTTTACAGCAGTGTTCTATCCAATTACACGTGGGATCACTACGCCGAATCTCTGCCGATGTCAACGTACCTAGTAGCATTCACAGTGACGGACTTTAAGAACATGACTAATGACAATTTCTCTGTATGGGCAAGGAGTAAGGCTCTTCCATCTGCAGCTTTCGCCTTGGAGATAGGGCCCAAGATTTTAAAATTCTTAGAAGAGTACTACAAGATAAAGTTTCCACTACCCAAGATTGATATGATTGCCTTGCCTGATTTCAAAAATGGTGCTATGGAGAATTGGGGACTGCTTACTTTTAGGTAAATATGACTTATATTTTATAGCAAATTTTAAAGATTTTAAGATTTAAGATCTTTTAAATTTACATGCAGTAAATCCCACAACGCACTTTGCGTTGTGGGATTTACTGCATGTAAATTTAGGAATAAAAGGACTTAGAGGATTCAGGATGAGTCCCTAATGCGTTGCTATTGTAATGCGTTGAGTACGCTTTTAGCGATGTATTTGCAGGTAAGGTAAATAAATAATTATATAAGCTATTATATAACTGAGATCCATTTTTAAATTTTCTCCTTTGTTTTCTCTTACCACTTTTTTCATTTATTTTATTTCATTTCTCTTTTAACAATTTAACTAAAAGTTAATATTATATAAGTTTTAGTGTGGTGACGGATTAAGAATACAGAGTGTCACCACCCCTATTCATCCCGTGGGTGTCGTAAGAGGCGACTAAGGGAGAAAACTACGCAGGACAACAACACTGCAGAGAGAAGGAAAACTTGAAGCAAACCCTATACCAACCCGTCTGGCCAGCGTGGTATAGTAGGCCAAAACCTCCTTTCTAAGGGGAGGCCTATGTCCAGCAGATGACTATTAAAGGCTGTTGATGATTATTTAATAAAATATATTTTTTCTGCGATATGTAAGTCATATCGTAAGTTTATAAAAATGCAAACGATATACAATGTTGTTTTTCACGTCTCTAAAGAATTATATGTTGATCATATTTGCTTCCTACGCAAGCTCATGTTTGTATCTGTCTAAAAAAGCAAATACTAGAATGATAATGTTTTTCAACGGGTACTTTAAACTGTCCGTCTGTTTTCGGTGATGAAGATTGACTATTGTTTATTTTTTATACAACATGTATTTTTGGCCCAAGCTAAAGTTTATATAACGGGAAATTCCGTTGTAGCAAAAGAACAGCTGCAGTTACTCAGTGATTTTATTTCGTACGTTAATTAGCTCAGAATGTGTGGGTTAATATTTGAGTTGAACGTTGTAAATTAAACAAATAATATGTTGAAGATTCCTTATTTGATGTATTTATACTGATATACATATAAATTATGAAGGGCTCCTAGTTTAGTGGTATCTGAGTAGGTTAGCACATTACAAAGTTAAGCAATCCTAGCCAAGTCAGTCTATAGTTTGGTGACCATTCTTAACACATTGAGACCCCTCCGTTCCTTGGAGAGTACTTTCGTCGTCGCTGGTCCCGGTTGTCATGTTGTGAGCTCTAAAAAGTTCGACAAGTCTATCTACAGAACCTCGATATTACCTAGTACTAGTGGGTTGTGGAGGTCTGATGTCAGTCGTTCCACGTAAAAAATTGAAGTTGAGTCGTAGTTAGTAGACCGAAAGCCGACTCGAACCTAGTTTGGGACTAGGCCGGAGCATGATGAATACATATTGTTGTAAGCATATGAAGAAAAGACTAGTATCGTAAATAATTGTATTGATAATAATTGTATATATAGTATCGTAAATCGTAGTATTGTTACCTTTATATTGACTATTGTTATTAAAATAATTTAAAGATATTTAATTTTATTTTATGTGATAAATTGTATGGAATTTAATTGCAATGTATTAAATACTGGACATGGTGACTTATAATAATATTTGTCAATAAATGAATTTTGAGTTTATTTCATAGAATTAGGGTTCACATTTCACATGTCTTCAATCTGATACATGTTATTGGGACTGAACCTTCCAAGTACATAGTAGTAGGATATGTACTGCTTTTCCATTATTTTAAAGCTATTTTAGTAATTTTTAAAATTACCTTAGAAACGACAACATTGTGTTTCCTTTTCGTACAATACAATTTTACCAAATCGTATCGTTTAAATAATACGCTTCAAATAAATCTTAGCTCAGAACCAAATCTGTTGATAGGTCGTTGAATCACACACTTCATTATTCGTGGACGTACCATACATCATCCCTTTTATTTAGGGTGAGGGTCGTTCACACACATACTGAGCTAACTCGAGCGGGACCAATTACGGTTGAGATGAATACGAGTTTTTTGTATTATTACCGTAAACCTAGATGATCATTATTTCAAATTTTGCCATTAAACGTATGTTCATTATTACATATTTTTGGAATATTTTTGTTCAAATGAAATTTAAAACTTGTAATTAAGAGCTGAGATTTAGGTACCAACATTACGAAGGGAATAAAGAATAAATCACTACTACGAGTATATGAAACATAATCAGAGTTTTTTATTCAATACGGTAAACTTAGTTACAAATGGAATATAATTATATTGCCTGTATTATCTTTACCGTACTTTACAAAATTGAAACGAAAAGAGATATGTATATTGGGGGTCTTACAATCTTTTGTGGATATTGAACCTTAAAAACTATAAACAAATAATTACAAACGTTAAAACTTTCTCGACCAACGATATATAATTTTATATAAGTACATACAGATATATAGAGGATACGCAGCAACCAAAATAAGTTAGGTTGTTGTTGCATGTTGTGCCTGTCTGTAAGTCGCGAGATGATTAGTCTAAGATCCGTAACTTTATATTTTGTGGCATAATAATAAATACCTTTTGAAAGTGCAATCTCAAAAAATAAGGATTTACGAGTATCTTTATTTTATTTTCAGAGAGATAGCGATGCTCTACGAAGAAGGTGTATCAGCAAGTACCGATAAAGTCCACGTTGCAACTGTTGTGGCTCACGAGATTGCTCACCAGTGGTTCGGTAACCTTGTCACACCTTCGTGGTGGAGGGACCTATGGCTGAATGAAGGGTTTGCTACGTATGTCGAGTATGTAGCCGTTGATGCTGTGAGTATTGATGTTACTATTGACCAGAAATAGCCTTTTCATAGACTGTGATTTTGCTTATTGCTTTTGAATATGTGTCTCGATTTCCCCTTCTTTGATTGTTATTTATTAGCATTCATATGTTTAAGATTGAAATAAGTATTGAAAAGGTATTATTCTATTAACCAGATTTAATTTAACGTTTGAAATATTAGGGCTAGATTATTGGTGTAGATTGCTAAGCCACATATCGTGGTTCACAAAGAACAAGTAAGCGAGTGACAAAATGGTCATTTTGTTCTGTTTCCTCATAAGCCTTTCATCGTCCACTGATAAACGCACTCAATGAACTCGAAGTTCGATTGTTTTATCGCTGTTGTAGTACGTTGAAGCATGTATATTAGCAGTCCGGTTAGGAAGAGCCTGTAATATTTAGGCTCTGACTAATTATGGATCAGACAAAAAAGTGTTAGTTGTGTAAAGTTATAATTATGTTATAGTCTAATTAGTTCCAGTTTTTTATGAGGTAGGAGGAAAACGAGCAGACGGGTCTCCCGATGATGACTACCGCCACCCATGGACATATGTAACTCAAGAGACACCCTTTGAATGATCCTCAGAATTGGGAGGGAGGGGAGGAGAGTTGGGCCTCTGGTAACCTCACTCACTCGGTGAAGAAAAACCGAAATAATTTCTTGACATCGGTTTTCTCCGTGGTCGTAGTATCACTCCGGTCGAGCCGTCTCATATGCGTCAAAGCATGGCTCTCCCACGATAAGCTAGCTCTCACTTATACTATAATACTTTCAATGAATGAAGAAACATACTACAGCGCCATCTATCGAAGACACACTGAACTACGGATTAACTGCTAATCCTATATCGCGATATGCGTAATACGCACGATAATAAGCATATTTACAACTTCTCAACATGAACCGTTAGTCCGCGGCCCTCTCGTCGTAGGATCTTCTCTTTGTGTTGGAGGGTAATGACATCCGTTCCTCTATAAGTAATATTTTATTTTCAGGTGGAAAAGTCCTGGAACATAACAGAGATCTGCATCCTGGACCAAGTACACAACGTGTTCCAACTTGACGCTTTAAACTCCTCGCACCAACTGTCAGTGGATGTTAGTGCTTCGGAAGAGACTGATGCTATATTTGACAAGATTTCGTACGGAAAAGGTAAGAATTTGAAATACAGAGAAGTGGAGACTAAGTTTTTTAAAATTTAGTTTTTAAAAACTTCTTATCATGTTGATGTTTTCAAAAGTGTTTTTTAACTACGACATATGTTGTATATTATTTTACATTTCTTGTTAAAAATTATAATTTCTGTCAAATATGTAGGTTTGATATGTTGGTTAAGAACATCGTTCGGTTTTTCCGTTACGCTCATTAAGCCAAAATTATCGTTTGAGTAACATTCGGGATTTGGCGCCACAATATTATAACATAGAGAAAATGTTAGGAAGAACTTAATGATCAATTTGACTAAGTGCCTAAATATACTCACGTTTTTTATCCCCAAAGGGGTAAACAGAGTCGAATGAAACGCTCAAATTATGCCGATTTAAATTTTAGTCGCACTTACTTTATCATCACCATCAACAGCCTTTATTAGTCCACTGCTATACATAGGCCTCTCCTTAGAAAGGGGGTTTTGGCCTACGATTGGATTATGTCAAGTTTTCCTTCTCTTTGCAGTGCTGTTGTTGTGCGTAGTTAGGTCCCTTAGTCACCTCTTACGACACCTACGGGATAAATAGAGGGGTGGCTCTCCCTATTCTTAATACATCACCACACGGATGAAGTTAATATGTTTTTTTTTATTTTTTTATAGGCTCAGCCCTTCTACGCATGTTAAACCACATACTAACCTCCGACGTATTCAATGCTGGAGTGACCAACTATCTAAACTCCAAAATGTATGGGAATGCAGAGCAGCGTGATCTGTGGAGCGCTTTGACCACAGCAGCTAGGAAGTCGGGCGACTTTGATGCTGATGTGGCTGTCGTCATGGACTCTTGGACCTTGCAAACTGGTTTCCCGGTGCTCACTGTGACAAGGAATTATGAGAACGGAAGCGTTGTATTTACTCAGGTAGATTTGCATCTTGATTATATTATTTCTATAGCAAAGGAAACCGTCTCTGTTGGAATTTATTACGCAGGACTTAATGACAAAATGGAACCCTTAAAAAATCACTTGTGAATCTGTCTTTCCATCTGTCACAGACATTTTGCTTATTAGACATTATTGAGTAACTTATTATTGAACGTATTAAAAAAAAATACATTACAAAATTACAATTACAAAAAAAAACAAAGTCGTAACATTCGTTTTTCAAAACGAATTTCAGTTATCAGCGGCATTTAATGTATATATTAAACGCCGCTGATCACTGAAATTCGTTTTGATAAAAAAATATATATTTATAATTTATACATAAGTACAATATTCATTGCTAAATTTCGTTTAATTTGAATCTATACTTAACAATCGGTTGCGGCTATGACATCTAGTGCTGAATAACATAAACTTGCTAATGAACTACGTCAAATTTTTCTTACTATCAGATTTATTACAAGACAAAAATCAATAGATGGCGCTAAACGCAGTCCTAATCCAAATCATCTTAGACGTCTAAATAATCGGCTACGATTACCAAAAACTAACTAAATTACTGACTGTGATAAATTAATAGTAAAGAAAAGTGAGTTTAATTAACACAACTAGTTAAAAAAATCTACCGGATGTTTCTTGAGCCCGTACAACTTTTACATACATTCTTTAAGTGCGTATAATAGAAAAATGAAAATTCAGAATTAACCACATATAAGGAAAAATAAAACTTTTTTATTTAAGAACAATCAAACAAAACGAATTTCCAAAGCATAGTGTAAATCCTTAATAAATTCTACAATAAAGAAAACAGTCCTCATGAATCACAAAGAGATGTCGCTAGCCGCAAGTCAAACAGTAATACTGAATTCACATCGAAATTACTATAGTGAGTATACAGTCGTAGAAGATATTATCATATTCTCCTTAAAAAGGAGGTTTTGGCCTATTATACCACGCTTGACAGACGGGTTGATATAGGGTTTGTTTCCGGTTTTCCTTGCTCTTGCAGTCCTACGTAGTTAGCTCCTATAGTTGGCTCTTACGACACCCACGGGATGAATAGGAGTTGGGAAACTCTGGATTCTTATCTGTCCATTTTAACTATGCAAACAAATTGCACATTATTTAATTAATTGTTAGAAGTTGTAGATTCCAACATCACGATAATTTAATACATATAGGTATTACAGTTACAGTGTTATCGGTAACTACTAGGTAGTTTTCGTATTGCGTTAATTACCTGATACGTTCGAATTATGATATATTGTGTGGATAAGCTAGTATAAAACATATATTGAAATAGGTTTATTGAGCAATGATAATGGGAAATCTAATTTCAATTAACATTGCCTAAAGATCTTTACAATTGATACTGAAAAAATTAAAAAAAAATGTAATTAGGCCAATACCCGAAACTTATGAATTTGATAAGATTTAAGATGCATGTTATTAGCAAGTTAAAACTGGCGAGTTAATATTGACTTACATTATTTATTTTAAACCAAAGATAATAGCAAAATATACAAAATATACTTTCTAAATAAATCCACCTAACACCCACCCAAAGGTTGACCGGATGATAATGCCCTGGGCATTAAGTCCGCCGTCGTTATAAAATAAATAAATAAGAACATGTTTATTTAAAAAAATAAAAGGAAGATAAAAATTAAAGTAACATAGATTTATTCTTAACTAAGGTTACAATACCGATAATGCCAGTGCAATTCATAGTGAGTCCACGCCGAACCAAGTTTATCAAGTTTATTTAGTTTACAAGTTCTCTTCCGGTCAACCTATAGGTGGGTGTTAGGTGGATTTATGTAGAAAGTACAATAATTATGTTTACGTTGGTTGTGGTAAGTAATTAAATGAGCACAAGGCATGTATTTTCCATTCTTTTCTTTTGTGATGTTAGTTATCTATTTTATTAGCAATGCTTAGAAACAAATAAAAAAATATCATACATAATAACATACTTTTAAGAGATAGTATTTAAAAGAGAGAAATGAGAAAATGTATCAATATTCTGTGAAGTAATAAATTATTTATAAAAAGAAAATCGATGGGCTTAAATCACGCAACCAAAAAATCATATCAACTATTGCTGTTGTTGTAACTGTTGTTGTAACTTATTCTTAAATTATATAAGTTCGCTCAGAGTCCCCATCAAAATCTCAAAACTCGTATGCTAGGACAATATCTAAATGTTGTCTTTGTGTTCATCCATGTTCAAGAATCAATCAAGATAGTTTTAGCTATATAAATTGCGCAAGAAGACGTACATATCATAGCTTTAGCAAATATAATAGATTAGAAACAAAAAACAGTGACACTAGGATGCCAACTAAAGTGAAAACGTTAAAAATTAAAAAAAAAATGATTATAACGGGGTTCTTTTGGTTTTTTTATTCGAAAAGTTCCGACAGGAATATATATCTATGTTGTACGTATATACACAATATATGTTTATATTAGATATAGTTATATTATCAATGTATGTCTCAAACTCAACTCTCGTGTAAACGGGGCCAATATATGTAGATATGTACTTGTATACAGAAGTGTCGGTAACGGTAACAGAGTCGCGAGTTCAACGGTTTTTTCCTATCTCAAAAGATACATTATTTTGTTTGTTATTCATAAATGCCCAACGCGACTAAAGAAGTTTTCACTTCAAAAACATAGTGTGTCTCTGAAAAGCATTTCTTCTTATTATTTCAGGAACGCTTCGTCTTGATCAATGGCACGTTTACAAATAAGAAATCTCCATTATGGTGGATTCCAGTCTCATACACGACGGCATCAGAAAAAGACTTCATGTCCACCAGCCCAAAGCTATGGTTGAAAGGAGAAAAAACATTGAAAGTTGACAACATCGACATGAAAAAAGATGACTGGTTTATCGCAAATATTCAGCAGACAGGTAAATTACAGAAATATTTGTGGTACAAAAAGCTAAAGGACTTAGATATACCAAATTTCTTAATATATTAAAGCTTTTAAAGTTAAAGACAAAGTCCAAATATCTTTATTTCATAAAAATAACTGTCTACCACTATATACGTCTTTTATGTAGACTCCAAAATCATAGTCACACACAATGGCAACAATCTATTTTGTCAAATATATAGAAAAATCCAATCCATTGCCTGTGCCCATCTACGACCGCCCGTTTCCAAGGAAAGCCTTATGAGAAAAAAGCGTAGACAAACTCACGGCCCCTCTTTTTTAATTATAGATAGATCAGTTCAGACAAATACAGTACATTCAAATCTGCTTTCGCGTGCAATGGTGTAGGGTTATATAAACGTACAGGACTTTATTAGCGTCATGATGTGCCTTTGAATTGCCTGTCGTATCGATCAGCTTGCACTGGCCGTAGTCAAAATCTGACTTCCCGTACTAAGGTATAATTGTATATTAATATTAATATAATTGTATATTGTGATTTAAATCAATTATTTCTAATTTCTTATTGCATAGCATTAAAACAGATTGATCTTCATTAAGATTTGATGTAACCGGTTATACATATTTAAATATCAATAGTTAGAATTCTAATTATTATCTTAGTCGCTTTGAGGATTCTTGATTTTCGTGGGAGTTCCATGTTTGTCACATATTGGCCGACTCGACCAGAGCAATGGCAACGACCTCACTGTTAATCAGTGTTAAGCAATTCTTTCGTAGGTGATCGGTTTATTTACTTGCCCTTATTACATTAAAAAATAAATGCAATAACAATACAACGTCCTAACTCCAACATTTTTTGACGATTACTGTTTCTGTTTTACTAGGTTTGGAACATAATCAACTTCCATTTTTCAGGCTTTTACCGCGTTAACTACGATAAGACTAACTGGGAGTATCTTATTAAGATTTTGAAAGACCCAACCCGTTTCCAAGAAATCCACACCATCAACCGAGCCCAAATGATTGATGACGCTATGAATCTGGCTCTCACTGGAAGGCTAGACTACGTGACTGCTCTAAATGTCACTAGTTACCTGGCTCATGAGAGGAGTTATGTGCCTTGGAAAGCTGGACTATCAGCATTAGGATATATAGATACGATGCTGTCGAAAGGAGCCAATTATCTAGAGTACGGGGTAAGTTTCAAGACAAGTTGCATTGTAGAACCAATAGATGGCGTTACTATATTAAAAATTAAACAGAACGTATCTTGTCCATTCATACTTATGAAATTGTACGGGCGCGGAATAATATATTAATATTTATTTAGTGTTTGAAATACGTTATTTTTAATCTTTGCTTAATTATTCAAGATAACGAAAAACGTGCATTCAAATGAAATAAATACTTTTTAAGCGATAACAGAATTATAATCAAAATCATTTGTGGATTTGTCATCTAATCCTTAGACACCTATAGATAATGGATGTTTAATGAGATTAGCTACACAGAGGTCATTTGAGTATTACAATAACAATAAAAAATATTACTTTATATTCGTCCGCGGTGTACCACGAACGTGGTCTGGTGAATCAGCTGGAATCGCTTGCTAACATTTTGTTCTTATTACAAGATACAAGTATGCTAAAACTACCCCCTCTTTTCATCAAGAATGTCAATCACAAAGATTGTGTTCTATTATCTGGATAGAAAAATGTTCGTAAGAAGTTTGCTTGAACTGGATTTCAAATTTTTAACTTAACCAGACCTTTTTTCCATTTTATAATAATCATTGCGTTAATAGTTTTAAGGTTTAATTCTGGTCTCCATCCTTTGTTTGTGGAAGTGTACTCTTCCACTAGGGTGTTTCCATTATCATATAAATTTTATGAATTTGGTTGACATTTTTGGGATCGGTTTATCGTGTTTTTAATCGACTTCTGTGGAAGACAATTCACTTACTAAAACTACAAAATTTTCGAAGTTTTATGTTTATACAGGTTCTTTTTCGAAACTAGTAACCAGATTGTTAATATTTTTAGGGTTTCGTTCCTTAAAACAGAAGGAAACCCTTTTATGATCATTATAATCAATGTTAGGTGAGCTTCGGTCTTTTATTGGCAGAATAGGGCATGACATTGCCCGTACAAGAATAAAAACTATCTACAACTCCATTTAACCTTGGAAGAACCATGCCTCAGGAAGCATTGGCACTGGCCATCCGGCATCACAAAAGACTGGTGTTTAGAAAATTATTCGTTGTTTTTTGCCGAGTGAGTGATGTTAACGGAGACTTAACTCCCGTCCCCTATTCCCTGATTTTAGGGGGAGGAAAACTCAAAGAGAGACAACGAACTTGTCTCTCTTGAGTTGCACGAGCGAAGGACCAGGGCCCCAATTCTGCTATTTTATGGCATGGCATATTCGGCCCTATGTGGCAGTGACGCGGCAGTCGGACGACGACTGCCACACGAATGAAAGTTGTATATTTACAAGCCCACGCACACATAGGGCCGCGCGCACAACTGAGTTGAACTATCTATACCTCGGTAGTGCAGTGGTAGCGTATACGACTGCTGTGCATGCCATTCATTCTTATTGACCTTGACCAGTAAGAGTACAGAATCTGAATGTATTGCTAAAACATTACTTTCAGATTAGGTCTTTCCCAAATTGCCCTTGATAAAACCAGACTAATGTAAGTGCTTGTATAATAATAAACGAATAACTTTGTATCATTACTGATTATGATTAAGCAGATTACATTTAGGATCTTAGTATGATTACTTAGTCATAGTTATTTATCAATGTATTGGCTATGTCAAACATGTTAAAACAACTAGGTATATAGGCTAGTGATGTGACGGATCTTTAAAAATGTATGTCAGCGGATACGGTTATGAATAGGGATTAGTTGTGACTTCAAGTTTTTTTTCTGTAACGTCAACGGGCATGACCTTGAAATGTTAACATAAAACAGAACATATTTCTTTAAATTATTAATTTAATACAAATCGAATTGAGTTTGACTACAAAGACTACAAAGTCAAACCTAAAGGTTTGACTTTGTAGTCAAATACTACTCCATAACTGTCAATAATATGAGTACCACGCTACATTATACGCACATTTATTAAGTATTATATTGAATTAGCAGCTTGCATAATGTCGTAAAAGTAAACAGGCAGCCAATATAAACATCAGGTCAGAGTTCAAAACACTGACCACTGAGATTTCCAAGCTTACTGTGCCGTAATAGGGGTATCTCATTTGTTTTAGATGTTTTGTAGAGTAACGCTCTATCTTTAAATAGAAAATAGGTATATCATGTAAGCTCGGCAGATAGACAGATAGATAACTCTTTAGTGTACAATGAAACTCTGTGACGATCTTAAGGACTTTGAATGCGTATCACGTAAGAATCTGAAGCGTCCTTTAAGTTTAAGGGCTCCCCTCTTGTTATTATTGTATAAAAATGAAAGGATATGAATATTCCGGCGATGATGAATGGGTAACCAGTTAAGCTTTTTCCGAAATTCAGGAATATGCAAAAGTTTTTATTAAGTTGTCTTCGGTAAGATCGGGATAGCTAGTATCTGCGTTATCAAGGATTGAGAGAAGAATGAATTCTGCAAGCACAATTTCAGTCGTAATGGGTAAGAAGTTACGCAGACTGCACAGGGATCTGGCAGAAGCAAACAGTTTTTTACTGATTTCTTGTAGTTGCGGTCCCTAGGACAAGGGTTTATCTTTAAGATTTGCTAGGATATGCTATAAAAGTATGAACGGATGTAAACGATTAAACATTAGCGATTACAAACACATATTAACGATATGTATTTGTTTTTAAAAGTTAGGTTTATTATCATAATTACCATGTTATTGGATTCATAAATGTATTATTGTATCGTGTGCAATTATCAACATGTAAATGATAATAACATTTTAGGCTTTTAAAAGAACAATAGTTAGTGCAGATGCAAAACCCATTTTGTTTTTTATGTGTGAGAAAACTCGCTTACGAGAACAATTTAAATAGTCAATAGTAAAATAAGTTATATTGCATAAAATTCGTTTTTCTTTTTTCAATTTAAAATAATAGATCATACCAGACAAAAAACATATATTCACGACTATATTCAGACTATATAAATCAAAATATAGTATAGTAGGCCAAAACCTCCTTCCTAAGGAGAGGCCTATGTCCAGCAGTGGACTAGTAAAGGCTGTTGATGATGATTGATGAAATCAAAATAGTCAGCACAATTTTAATGCCGCTTTGTACTCGTAGCAGGGTGTTAGGGTGACCTTTTATCATTTTACACCAGGGTCAACAGTAAGCGGCGGAGCGGGACCGGGAGAGGTTTAGAACTCTCCCGGCCCGCCAGGCCCGGGCACGGGCCAGGCGACTCAGGCGCCGGAGGTCGCAGAACGACCTCCGTCCTCCATAAGCGCAGGCCTGGGGGTGACAGGTGAGGCCATCTGTCACCCTAGCAGAAGCAGGCCGGGGTGGCGGCGAGCGCGTTGCGAAGCGCGCTCGCTTCCAGGGAGCACAGGGAACATGGGGTTCCCACACGGGGCGGGGGTCGTCTACTCGTCTGTAGATGACCCGAGGTATGTCGGGGCACCAGGGCCTTCCTTTCTAGGGTATACCTGGTTCCCCGGCTATAAGTACCCGGCGAAGGCGTGCGGTTTTAGTCGGTTCGAGTCCGACATGCCACCGAGAGGTGGTATCCGAGGGGATTTCCGCACGGAAAAAAAAAAAAAAAAAAAAAAAAAAAAAAAAAAAAGGGTCAACAGTAAGGGAAAAGGGCTAGTAAGCAACTAAGGAAGAGGCCTAAGAGGGTACCTTATGTGTATATGTGTGTATATGTGTGTACCTACTGTACATACATTCTGTCAAATTATGTTAAGGTATATCACAAAGCCTGCTAGAAACCTATAAACGCAGTTTCACAACTGTCATAAAATGTATTTTCGTAGTAAATTATTAAACGTCCAACGTTCTTCAATGTGATTATATCATACTAGCTGACCCGCGCAACTTCGTCTGCGTCTCTCAATAGTAATAAATTTTCTCCGTTTTTGAAACATTCTTCATTGGTGCTCCGCTCCTATTGGTCTTAGCGTGATGATATATAGCCTATAGCCTTCCTCGATAAATGGGCTATCTAACACTGAAAGAATTTTTCAAATCGGACCATTAGTTCCTGAGATTAGCGCGTTCAAACAAACAAACAAACAAACTCTTCAGCTTTATAATATTAGTATAGATTGTAATATCATATTGTAACCGAAAATTGAATCGGTAATCTGCTAGTCTTACATAGTTGCGAGATCGAGAGTTAATCGGCACTGAATTGTAACCGAACTTTTATTACGAGGATTGGCCTTCAGATCATTGGCCCTGATTATCTTTATACAGGCACCTTGAAGACAAATAACAACATATTGTGTATCCTTGCCAACAGATGTCGCTAGTTGTATCATAATTAAGTAATGCGATAAGGAAAATTGTAATTTATTTACTACTATTAGTTTTAGTATTTTTAATTGAGGATAGGAAAATTGTCGTCCTGGTAGCAGTGGTGCTCTATTATGATACACGTTCCTTACAAGTGACCTTTTTTATGGTATAGAGGGGCAAACAAGCAGATGCGTTACCTGACGGTAATTAATTATTATATGGTTTTTGTCCCATGCATTTGGGTTTACACGAACAAACAGAAAACTCCAATAAGAGCTTACTCGAACAAGGATTCCAACCCAATGTTAGGGTAAACGAGGTATTTTATCCTAACATCGGGTCCATACTAACGTATTATTTCAACTCTCATCATGACTGGGTTAATACAAAAATTGCAAAATGTAATCATCAACGGAATAGTGGTAATATATATCAAAACAAAATACGACTAAACAAATTATTTGATTAAATGTGTGTTTAATGGTTAAGGCGTTAAAGCGTAGCAAACCAGAACTAATCTGTCATGCACAATGTCAAATTTTGACACACAAGAAATTTAATGACATTCATTTTTAATAAAAAGATTATTAATTGGATATTTAATTAGAGCATTAGGGACTGACAATGTTTAACACTGTATTTTAAAAGTAAAATTAATAAATATTTATCATTAATTCTAACATTATGAAATTTTTAATGGATAGTTTTAAAATAGTTACTCAAGTTCACCAGCACGACTATTGGGTTGGATGAAATTTGCTACAGAGATACATTATTTGATGAATGAAATAGCCTAATTTTTATAAAGGTAAAGTTTTCAAAATCGACATAAACTCGAAAAACCAGTGATACTCGTATATATTTTTCAATTCCTTAAGTCAAGTCTTTTATAATATGTTAACATCATGTTATGGCTACACATACTCAACTCATGTACTTAAAAGCCTCCATAAAGATTTCTTCACATCACTTTGATCCGTGATGAATCCGTGTGGTGACGGATTAAGAATACGGAACATCACCACCCCTATTCATGCCGTGGGTGACGTAAGAGCCGACTTAGGGAGCAAACTACGCAGGACAACAGCACTGCAAAGAGAAGGCAAACTTGAAACAAACCCTATATCAACCCGTCTGGCCAGCTTGGGATAGTAGGCCAAAACTTCCTTTCTAAGGAGAGGCCTATGTCCAGCAGTGGACTATTATAGGCTATTGCCTATAATAGTCCACATAGGCCATGATGATGAAGATGACTTTGACATTTTACCAACTTTTATAAATTGTTTCAGAATTACGTTCTCCGACTTCTGAGCGAAGCAGTAAAAGAAGTGGGATGGAAAGTGAATCCTAATGAAAGTGTGATCACCTCACAGTACAGAGTAGATCTGTTGGCTTCAGCCTGCCACTTCGAGCATCCTGACTGTTTGGAGAATGCCGTGCGAATGTTCACCAATTGGGTTTTGGCTCCAAACCCAGATGCCTATAATGAGTAAGTGGAATTGTTTAAGATTTTTACAAATTATGGAAGCTTATAACAAATTATGTGTTAGATTTGTTTCAAAGGGTATTTTGGGAATTTACAAAAATAAGTATGTGTTCCACTTTAAAACATGAAACAATAAATGGTTCTGGAATGTCAGCCTCTTAAATCATTGATAGTAAAAATTCAAGTAGATCGTGATCTCTAGATAGAGACTGTCAAAGCTGTGAAAGCGTCAACATAAATAGTGTACAACTGTTAGTCACTAAATTCCTATCCGCTTTTGTCCCTCTTTAAATGCTCAATTAACACGCACATCAGCATAAGCATAATAAAGTTTTGCCGTTTTTATATATGACATTCTATCCAGACTTATTAATGTTCTAATATCAGTTGATCAAATGTCATCCGTGTGGTGACGGATTAAGAATACAGAGTGTCACCACCCCTATTCAACGCGTGGGTGTCGTAAGAGCCGACTAAGGGAAAAAACTACTCAGAACAACAGCACTGCAGAGAGAAGGAAAACCTGACACAAACCCTATACTAACCCGTCTGGCCAGCGTGGTATAGTAGGCCAAAATCTCCTTTCCAAGGAGAGGCCTATGTCTAGCAATGGACTATTAAAGGCTGTTGATGTGATGATGAGATGTGTGAAATGTCATCGCTAAGTCTCTATGTTCTTGAAATATCAGTTTTGTTAAATCGGCGTTGGTCTTGAGACTCGTACTTTTTGCAGTATGACCAACATTCGTCGTTCATTATTATCTGTAAGAACATGGATTAAAACCACAGTTATTTATTTTTAATAATAATTTAATAAATAAATTTATTAATTTAATAAATAACGTAATTCTGCAATTTCTTTCTTGTCGTTCTGTGGAAAGACTGCTGTCGGACTTTTTAGGAATCCAACTACTCGTAACGATTGCCACAGATGTTCATATGGCAACCGCGACCGACGGCTTAACGGGTCTGAATGTATTAAGAATAGTCACCCATCCATAGACTGACCTGACTAGGATCATTCAACTTCACGACCCCTTCTTATTTTTGTATACCACAATGCTTTTTAATTTAGACAAAAAAATCGGTTGTTTGTAAAGTCGGTTTACTGACGATAGTTGAACGTGACAACGTTCTAAAAAAAATACTGATGGAATGGTTGCATTTTTCAAAAATGTATTATTGTATACGAGTAGCAGCTGTCCACGCGGACGCATCGCTCACTCAAGTAGGAGAGAGACAGATATCGAACGCTGCCGAACGGGGAGGCCGATTGTGCCTCTTTGTCGCTCGTTCCGCGCTCTCGCTTGCACTTCACGCCTTAAATGGAACGCCTCAGAGCGAGGTAACGCCGCATGAGTCATGTTTTTTCGTGCGTGCAGCCGGCTCCATCGAATTATAAGACGTTGTCACGTCAAAAAAAAACTTCATGCAGGTATTATGCACAAGGAAAATTCTTGTCATGATCACTGTCATTTAAACTTTGACTTTGTTTCAGAATCCACGTTGATGTTCGTACCATAGTGTACTGTGTAGGTGTTCGAGCAGGCGGTGCACGTGAATGGAACTTTGCGTGGGACCGTTTCAAAGTCGCTACTGCACCCTCTGAACGTCACAGGCTACTCTCTGTATTGGGATGCACGCGGTCTCCGTCATTGCTGCATAGGTACTTATAACAACATTCGAAAATTAGGCATTTGTAACGATTGCCATAATTATGTTAAAACGTCAAGTATCGCTTGACGTTTTAACATAATTATGGCAATCGTTAGTATTGGGAATGTCGAATATTAAATATTCGATTTTCCATAAATAAATTTGAAAATTCCCTCCGAAATATATTAGAATTACTACATTACAATTGACTTCCTTATTGAAATAGAATCAATTAAAACTCTTGATCTACAAATACGTTTATCAGTATACTACAAATTTCTAGCTATTAATATTCACACATCTCACACATGGCAGTCTGATGCAAAACTAGGCAGAGCCTGAACTATGGTAACCTTGGTGAAAATTCTATTTATAAATCTTTATATTTTATATAATAATTGCTTTGAATCCAATCAAATGAATGAATTTAGTTTTTACAAAGTACTTTTTTTCCTTGCCGAAATCCCCTCGGATACCGCCCACCAGTAGGGTGGCTACGTCGGACCAAAAACAGCACGCCGTCTCGGGTACTAGTAGTCGGGGAACCAGGTGTACCCTATAAAGGAAATCCCAAGAAACCCGATGTACCTCGGGTTATCTACGGATTCTAGATGATCCCCTCCTGTGTGGGAACCCCGATGTTGACTCAGGACTCAGGATCTTCTTCTCCCGATGATGTGGGAACACAAGAACGCCCCTTCCCGCCGCCTCCGCCGTCAGGGTAACGACAACGACTGCAGAGCGAGGGGCGCGCCTCTAGCCTCCTTCCAACGGGCGCTGTGCGGAGTCAGCCGGGGCTATAACTGACGCTGGGGTCGGGTTCACCTTCCCCTCCTCCTAGGTGGCCATTCGAGGTGCTGTAGAGGATGGCCCGGTCACCCTAGCTGCTGGCTGAGCTCCACCACATGGGACAACACTTTGTATGATCCGTTCATGAATGTTTGTAAAGTGCCCCGCAACACAGGATATATTCCTACTGCGGGAGTTTTTCTTAAAGAAAAAAGAAAGAATTTATACCTCTACATATTCTTAGTGAACTTGCAATGTGAATTTGTATTTTGTATATATATATATAGATATCTCTATATATATATATATATATATCTTATTGATTATCTTACCTAATGTCATTGATGAATAATCAATTCTTGTAAAACAATATCTTTGTAGTTGAAGTAATTTGCAGTAATTTAGTATATTATGGGATTAGTTAATGATGTAGCCGAAAATTAATGGGAAATCATTAAAATTTTAACAACATCTAAATATTATTAACTTCAGATGTTTTGTTTTATATAATTTTCTGTAAAAAGTTTTCGTACAATGACAGGTCTATTAAATATATTATAAAACCATTTAATATTACTTATAATTTACACTATGTACAAACTTTAAGTATTACAAATTTAACTTTTCGAAATGCATAGACATTGAATACAGGGAAATCATTTAATGGACATGCATTTATAGTTATAATTCCATCAATAGCTAATAAATAAAAAACATAAATAGTTCTAAAGACAAAAATTTATTCTAGAAAAAATCATACGGCGGTGTATCTAAAAATATCTTCAAAAATAAATGAGAGGTTATGATCTTAAAACAGCTGATCTGTTACCGTTAAGAGTACTTTTAATCAATTCACATTCCAAACAAAAACAAAGTTTTTTTGATGTTAAAATCTCACAGAGAAACACGTTCACACGTAGAATACCATACTCGTTCATGCAATAATATTGAAATAGCTAAAGTCGTCTGTTGTCTTCCCAGGTATCTAGAAATGTCACTACGCAACGACAGCGGTATCCGCAAGCAAGATATTGTCCGTGTATTTTCAGCTGTAGCAAGCACCGCCATTGGACAACCCATTGCCTTCAACTTTATAAGAGCTAACTGGCCGAGGATGAGATCTTTGTAAGTATACGTCGTTCTTAAAATAGTAAAGATATCTTGGATTAAAATTGATACAATGCAGAGGATATCCTATACCTACCATACTCGAAGGAGATCATGCATGCATGGGGATTCGACCAGAGACACACACAACGACAGTGGAAAGGAACTTAGTTGCCAACTGTGCGACAGCTTTCACAACTATGGGAGAGCTACGAGTATGATTTGAAATAAATAAGCCAGCTCGAGTCGAGTAATATTACGGCGTCACAGAACACCATTGTTTAGAAGCAATTTTTTGAAAGTAGATCAGAAATTTAGCATTTGTCATTTTAATTGTGCATAAATCTTTTATAAAAATAATAATTTTAAGGCGTTAATATGATGTATTATGATAATGTCGATCAACTGAGCTTGTTTTGTTTGTATGTTTTAATATTATTATAACAAAAGGTGAACATGTTTTAAAAATATCGACTTCTCAAAACTTTGTTGTCGTGATGCAAAAAATTCTCAAAACCACTAGCTACATATTTGTAGAAATGAATTACAACTCCAACAAAAAAATCTAAGAGGCTTTTAATGTTCTTTTCATTTTGTATTAAAATCTACTACAAACATTAATGTAACGTGTAATCTCAGCGTCACCGCTAATTCTTTTTAACTATATTTTTTTTATTACTAAACCTCCGTGGGTGAAAAAAAATCGTTATGCTATGTACCAGTGTTCTAAAATAGTAATATTTTATATTTCAGTGTGAGTTCGCTGTCAACTTTGAACCTGATCTTGAAAGTGGTGACGAGACGTTTGAATCAAGCCCACGAATACGATGAGGTATTTTTTTATTTGTGGTTTTACATTTTTAAAGCTGTGTAAATGCTTGAAAATAATTTTGTAAGAGAGGTTGTATAGGATACATACGAACTAAACCAATACCAACTAAACTAACCGAAGATAGTTGCTTAGGTTAGTGGGTATTGGTTTAGTTGGAATACTAAGTTATGAACATTGTTGCGAATATTTTAACATATTATGTGTATATTACATATTTTAAGTTTTTATGGGTTTAAAAGTCTTGAATAACAGTATAGTAGGTAGTAGGGGGTCCCGAATTTTTTTTATTCTTATTTTAGCTACTTAAGACCTCTCAAAAGTTGCGCTGTTAGACGTAGATTAGCGTAAAAATAATTCAAAAAATATTTAAAAATATCCTTAGGGCTCTACCAGCATTTTTATTTACTGAAAATTCGCAAAAACAACCTTGTAGTCAATGTCGTATATTCTATGTTTTATGAATCAATCCTGTTTTGTCTTGTAATTTTATCAATAAGAAAAGCCTCGGCTATAATTTGCAAGTATCGACAGGTTGTTTTAGCGATCAATCGGTTTGGATCGGACTTGCAAAATTCCTACAAAATTCATGTTTTGACTTGATTTTCGTACGTGCGCTACTTCTACAACAAGACAGTTCGTCTCATTTCTATTTCGATTTTACTCTTGTAAGGAGTTGTTCTATTCTTCTTTGAAAGAAAAACGTAATTTGCGTTACTTAAGCATAAAAATGTGTTTAAGGCGAAGTGAGACTACTTGTACTATATTGGGACCTTATAAAGAACTTGACGATCGCCAATTACCTGTTATAAAAGACGTTATTAAGTGCATTTTATTTACTAAAAGTGAATTAAAACTACAGAAAAACGAAAAAGATCCATCGAACACAGAAGTCTTTTCAATAGTTTCTGGAAAACTTAACACAATTTGGACCAAAGCTTCAATTCCCATCGTTTCTAACGTACGGGTTACTCAACTGCTAACCGCATATTTTAACAAATATTTATCACTAATAAGATATCCTAAAAGGAAGAGAAACGATAGCTATGACAACAAAGTTAAGTGCTTTTTGGAATCGTCAAATAAGCTTTTTGACATCGCTGCTTGTAAGTGCACTTCGTTTGAAAATTGTTCCTGCACTAAAACCAAGAAAGTTCCCATTTCTGAAAGAAATTTTTTACTGGACCAAAGAAATGATAGGAAAATGGCAATAAGCGGCGTAGACGCAAAAGAAACTGCAAGGCTTTTAAAGAAACATCAAAGACAAGAAAATTTGAAGCGGACAGAGCAAGCATGTTTTCCGAGTACTTCACAAACCGATACTGTACCGGTGCGCGTATTGCCGCCTCGTTCACAGTCGCTTTCAATAGAACCTTCTACTAAAAGTGACTTAAAGGAGTCTCCATCTAATTCATTTAGTCGGAACACTCTGACGCTGCCAACAGTAGCTAAGGTATTTGATCGATACGGACTATCAACGCGTTCGGCAGCTGCAGTCGCTTCAGCAGTCTTAGTTGACGTAGGAATGGTATCTTCCGAAGATCTAAACCTTGTGATTGATAAAAATAAGATTCACAGAGCTGTTTCAAAGTCACGTACCCAAGCCAGCAAAGACATCGATAAAATTATTATAAAGAGTATCTACTTCGATGGGCGAAAAGATAAAACTCTCAAGATCAATAAAATAGACAGCCGGTACCACCGAAAAGAAGTCTTAGAAGAACACATTTCAGTTCTTACAGAGCCGGGATCTATTTACTTGGGACATACGACGCCGAGTCGAGGTACTGCGAAAGGGATTGTCACTTCTATTATAGAATTGTTAGAAAATCAAGGATGGAACTTAGAAGAAGTAAGTTGTGTGGGTTGCGATGGCACTCCTACAAATACAGGTTGGAAAGGAGGTGTCATTAAATACCTGGAAGACTATTTGAAGAGATCGTTACAATGGTGTGTTTGTATGCTTCACACAAAGGAATTACCGCTTCGCCATTTGTTTATGTCTCTAGATGGTAGCACATCTGGGCCGAAAGAATACTCAGGACCTATTGGAAAACAGCTAAATGTTTGTGAAAGTAAACCACTATTGTCTTTTTGTGCAGTGGCTGGCAATTTGCTCGAATTACCTGATGACATTGTGAAGGAACTAAGTACGGATCAAAAGTATCTGTACGAAATGTGTCATGCTGTGACGACTGGTTCTTGTTCCCCTGAGTTAGCGAGCCGCCAACCTGGAAAAATGGCGCCTTCAAGATGGCTAACTACTGCCAATCGCATACTCAGACTTTATGTAAGCACTGTTTCGCCATCAAATAATTTAAAGCTGCTTGTCAATTATGTGGTCAAAGTTTATGCTCCAGTTTGGTTCCTCATTAAGAAAAACTCATCATTCAAAGATGGAGCCAATCATATTTTTCAAATGGTTACATACTCCCGATTTTTGCCTGATAAGCAAAGATCTATTGTGAATTCAGTGATCGAGAGAAACGCTTTTTTTGCTCACCCTGAAAAGTTACTTGTTACCATGCTATTCGACGACAGAGAGCATATTCGAGAGCTTGCAGCTCGCAAAATATTAAAGGCAAGAGAAGCAGAAATAAGCAATACTCGCAGGGTATTTAAAGTACCAAAACTTAACTTCGATGCGCGATATTATATCGATTTGATATTTTGGCAAGAGTGTGAGATATCCGCTCCACCGATTTTGCGACAGATGTCCGACGACGAACTGAGAATTAAGGCCAAAGAACAAAGCTTCGATGTTATTGATTTCCCCTGTCATACACAATCAGTGGAAAGATGTGTAAAGCTAGTGACGGAGGCTTCTCTAAGTGTCACAGACGCTACAGCTCGGGATGGTTTAATCAGAAACAGATTAAAATCTCGCTCGAAATGCCTAATTTTGGCCACAAGAACCAATTTCGTATTTGAAATAAGCACTAATTAGAAGTATTTAAACTTTACTGAACATTACCTTATGCCTTTGTAGTACCTATAAATTTGATTAAAACCTTTAAAACATTATTTTTGTATCATTTATAGTTTATGTTCGAAACCTCTAAAAATGGCAAATTTGAAAAACTTCTAGGATCGGTAGAGGCCTAAAGATGACAAATATTTAATTAAATTTTGTTATATTTGTAATCTATTCACAAAAACGCAACTTTTGATACCTCTTGCGTAGCCGTCGCTTTTAAAAAAAAAATCCTATACATTGACGGGACACCCTAGTAGGTAGTTTACATTTGCCTGATTTTTAATGAGATTATTTGTGTGCGATTGGTGCAACAAACCTGTTCTTATAGAAAATATCCCTTAGTAGGTTTTGAAACGTTGCAACCGTGGTATCACAGACGCTAGAAAATATAAACAAGATTAAACATATGTATCTATCAAAAATATCCATTTAACCCCTGACATTAGATTAGCTCAAAACAATGAATTTAAAAATTTAACGGCGCTTTGTCATGTACAAAGCGTAATATAAATTAATTAGGTTCTTTAATAGGAATCATAATATATCTAACTAGGTATTAAATTATATCAAGATCAATTGAAACGTGACTTTGAAAAGTTCAAGATAATAGCTGATAAAATATCAAAACAATCAAATGTTTGACGGCCTAGTGACAACTGTTTAATATGTTATCATTTATTATCAGTTCTTGATGTTAGTGTATGTAAATATTTATGATTTTATTTTGTATGTATAAAATCACTACCTAACTTTTAAACACTGAGTTTAAAAGGCACACGGTATGAAGGACGGTGGACAGGGTGCCTCGGCACACATGAGCCGGATCGACCGAAATTATAAGACGGATTCTCAGAAAATGGCAACACACTTGTTTCTTGAATTGTCGGTGTCCTATATCATAAAAAATCTGCGACTTTAACCGAAATGCAAAAATATTAATATCCGTATGGTGACGGATTAAGAATACAGAGTGTCACCACCCCTATTCATCCCGTGGGTGTCGTAAGAGGCGACTAAGAGAGAAAACTACGCAGGACAACAACACTGCAAAGAGAAGGAAAACTTGAAACAAACCCTATACCAACCCGTCTGGCCAGCGTGGTATAGTAGGCCAAAACCTCCTTTCTAAGGGGAGGCCTATGTCCAGCAGTGGACTATTAAAGGCTGTTGATGATGATGATGAAAAATATAATCTGTAAATAATAATAATAATAATAACTCACACATCTCACACGCGATAGTCTGATCACAAACTAGGCAGAGCCTGTGCTATGGTAACCAGACTGCTGATAAACACAAATTTATTTTTAAATACATACATATTATAGATAAATTATAAAGAAACAGAACAAATGACCGTGCTAATCACACAATATTTGTTCTGGGTGGGAATCGAACCTACGACCTCCAGCTTAGTAGTCAGGGTCACTAACCAGTAGACCAACAGGCCCGTCAAAAATCTGTTACAATTCTTACGTTTTATGTCTATGATAATTACATACACTGTTTGTATATACCTTTTATAATTTTATTAGTTATCTTGCAGGCAATTCTAAGGTCTGTAAACCTAGAATTGCCTGAAGTTTCATTTAGATAGTTCTGGCCGTTACACGGGCTTTTACTGCCTGAGAATAAACGTTTAATTTTTTTTTATCGTCCACAGCTACAAAGGTTTGTAACAGAATCCTGCAGCGATCTGGGACGTCCAGTTCAGCAAGTGTTAGAAACAATATCATCTAATGTTCAATGGAGAGAGCGAAATTACCAAACCATCGTCGACTGGCTCCTCGCAGCAGAAAAGATTAGTTAAAAAGTTTACAGTGAGTTTTAGAAGGTTCTAGGACTTTCTTGTGTTGTAGTCAATTTAGGATTTTTTCTTTACGATGGCCTCATACTAGAATTTCTAAAGCATTTGCACATAATGACGCTATTTCATCTTTCGGTTTTTGACATGATGCGCTGGAAATGTGTAAGAAAGGATGTATTGATTGGTGTTTGATGGTTGTATTTAAAAACAAAACAAATATCTGTAAAATCATTTAAGCGTTCAGTTTGAAACGTGTACTTTAGACTTTTTCTACATTGACGTAAGTGCGATAGTCGTATTTATCAGTATTGTGTTCAAATAAATGTATTGCTTTTATTTAAATTAAGAATTTCTAATGTCCTAAGAATTAACTTAAGCTAACCTGTAATGTAGTACAAAACACTATATATTTTTAGTAATGGCTCTAAATTGCACTTGCATAGGTTTAAATTTCTAACCATTTCCTTCGTAAATTTCACTATTGTATATTTAATGTAATATAAAAATAGGCCTCAGGTCATTAATATGTCTAGATGGAGTGTCACACTACAAAACAACGATAACAAACAAACCAACTTGTAATGCAACCCTACTTTGGTGTGTATGCAAATCGCGACTACACAGCAGCGACAGCGGAAAGGTATTCAGTTGCCAACAGGTGGACACTATTTTAGTCTTTGCCTTCACAGTCTGTCTAAACATATGTATGATCTAATTAACGAGCATGCTTTTTAAACTAACTTTTAAACTTTCGCGTTCCATGATAATTAATATTATTTAACGGGAATTAACGCGATCTCTTATTTAGGGTAGGGTAGTCAGCCTGTGACCACGGCCGGTGCAACCTGGTCGAAACGTCAGGCAAACCAGAGGTATGTAATACCCTAAATAAGAGATCGCGTTAATTCCCGTTAAATAATATTAATTATGCTTTTTAAAGTTCTGAAAATAACTGAATTGAAACATTTGTTACATTATTATATAAAAATTTATATAATTATTATTATTATATAAATTGTTTCTTAAAACTGAATAAGACGCAAGCAGCGTCTTATTCAGTTTTAAGAAACAATTTATAACCTCTTCTACCGTTTTTATAGTTTGCACTCACCTAGTAGTCTTATAAATTTAAATATACACAATTTAAGTTACCAAATATTATATTAAACGTATTTTTCTTTAGTTACATTAAAAGTATTTGAAAAGTGGTTTCAGTTAAATATTTTCATACTCTCCTTTATATCCAACCCGATTTCTCTTAACCAGCATTATCTCTTTAAGTGTCATATACTTTTTATTCTCTAAGAAAATTAGATATCTAATCACCGATGTATAGGAGCCATCGCATACGCATAAGGACCTAAGTCAAGTTTAATGGTTTTATGTAAGTTCATATTTTAATACCAAGAGCCAAGGTTCCATTTATAAATAGTTGTCAATACCAAGTATATTTTGGTTGCACTCCTCAAATTGTGCGTTTAGTACACACCGCCAACAAAATACCTGATCAGTAGTACGATCTACCTGTGATGTTTGCAAATGTATAAGTGAAGAAACGAGTTATTTACAATTTGCACACATGTAAACGTATAATAATAAACCAAACGGAATAACACACACATGTAAACCTGACTAGGGCCTCAATTCTGCTATTTTAATATTGTATCAATAGACTGTCGTCGTCGAATGTCGTCGGAATAGTTTTGCACTTTTCGTATTGTACTATGTAACCAATGGCCCGATGACTTGCCAGTGATACAAATGTCGTCTATCTTTGTAACAGTTTGGAAAACAGTACATTTTAAATTTGTAAGAAAATTATGTATATATTTTTCAGGTATGGCAATGTTGTTGATATCACCATTGACGACCTATTTTAACTATATCGACAGTCAATTGACACTGTGAATTTATGTTATGTTAGAATACTGATATTCTGACCGATGCCAATGGCGTCTCAATGGCTTCTCAATAGCGTGTCAATGGAATGAGAGTGGCTTGGCGTTAACATAAAATAGCAGAATTGAGGCCCAGGTATTTTGTATGCCGTATGTATGTTTTACATTAAAGTACTTTTTTTTTAAATCTTTATTTAGCTTAGCCACAATTATGGCTATGTCGCTCCAGTTAAGTACTTTCAAAGAAAAATATTTCTATTACTTATCGTAGATAATTAAATGTATGTAAATAAATAAATTAAAACTTTGTACTATTTAACTATTTCTTAAAAATGATTTTCGTAAATTAAAGTTTATAAAAATATGTGGTTTATAAAAGACATGTTTTATTTGCTTTTAGCTCCTGATTTTGATTTACAGAGAAAGAAACAGTAAGTTTTATAAATTTATAAAACGTGAGAAAGAAAGGAGAAAGTAATATAACCACACTAAACGAATTAGTGTGGTTATATTACTGGACTTCAAAACTGACTTCTGTGAAAATTATATTCTTTAGTTTACGATTAGTATCAAATATTGGCATTTATTTTATCTCTCTACGTATGATATTTAAAACTGAAACTCAAAGACGATTAAAATGAGGAATGATAAAAAAGAAGGTCATCCTTAACCAACTATTTATTCATATAGACTGTACTTACAGTTTATACGCAGTCATTTGGTGAGTTTGGAGAAGTATATCTGCAATACAGTGTGTCTGGAATAAAAAATAAAAGTTTTACTTTAAAGTTTTTGTCACAAAAATGCTAGGAATCAATAATGCTAGGAATTATTAATCAGGCCGTAATTACATAATAATAACCTCACACCCCTTATACAAGGCCGCCATATCCCAAATGAGGCAGAGCCTGTACTGTTTTAATCATACTGCTGATAAACATTCTTATATTTAAATACAAGACAAACAGGTCCATCTGTAATAAACTACAAATCCCTTCATTGCGCGACATTAATTTCTACTTTTTTTTAATTATAATCCCTTGTGGAGGGACGAGTGTCATGTCCCTCCAACACAAAGGGAGGATCCTCCGACCAGGCGAGGTAATCATGCCTGGCGGGCCGGGGCCCAACGGCTGATGTTGGGAAGTTGTATATATGCTAATATGAATTCATCATATCGCGATGCAGGATTAGCAATTTTCATTCAGAAGTTACTTCCTAGTTCTTTTTGTCTTCGTTAGATGGCGCTGTAGTATGTTCCTGTTTCTTTGTATGTGGGAGTCGCCTTATAATACTACTCTTAAATTTATGATAAGTAGCAGTCAGAAATCATTATTTAACGTGGTGAAAAGTAGCGTGGGAGTTTGTTTGAGGAATCAATAACCGCTGAACAGATTTAAATGAAATTTGGTATGAGTATTGAACAAGGACATGTCTTTTTTACCGCGACAACCGATAAACACTCACGCGGGCAAAAGCTGTTTAGTCATATTTGACTAATATTACTATTAAAAAAAACCAAAACCATTTCGCAATAAAATGAAGGAGTGCGTGAAAGAGGGTGTCGAGGGATAAAAAAGAATAGAAGAAGAAAACTCATTCCATCGACTCCAAAATTGGAACAGGGGTAAGAAGATGATAAAGAGACACATGTTTTTAAAAAATCGTATTACGTAATGTGTAAAAATCAAATTTTGTGTGTCCATACTTTAGCGGGAGTTACATAAATTCATTTGTTGAAGTTGAATAGTCCGGGTGGTGACAGATTAAGAATACAGAGTGTCACCAATATTCATCTCGTGGGTGTCGTAAGAGGCGACTAACGAAGCAAATTACGAAGGACAACAGCGTTGCAGAGAGAAGGAAAACTTGAAACAAACCCTATACCAACCCGTCTGGCCAGCGTGGTATAGTAGGCCAAAACCTCTTTTCTAAGGAGAGGCCTATGTCCAGCAGTGGACTAGTAAAGGCTGTTGATGTGAATGGAATTTCTCTCTTTTTGTAGCTGGAGATCCAAGCCTGTGTTCCAATACCGATTTCAATGTCTTGTTTTTTTTTTTACATTGACCAGTTTAACTGTAACCGACACTTGTGCAGATAAGACAGGTCAAAATGTATAGGTAAATAATTTGACTTTCTGCATTTCTTCTACGTATAAATATTAAGTATTTAAAATACAAAAGTTCGTGGTACAAAAAGTTTTCTTTGTGTATTGATATATCGATCGACAAGAAATACTGCAATATTTGCATGCACTTGGTAAGAGCGGAAATGGGGGAGTTAACAATCTAAATTGGTTAACACCTGCTTTACCTAATTTGGATTTAATGATAAGTTACTCAACTTATATTGTTCAGAGGGAAATAAACAGATATTTATGTTCTTTTTCCGTCCTTTGACAATTTCCTGTAACTGCCCATTACTATATGATTTACGCAGACGTAGATATATGAAGATTACAATTAACACCTTTATTGCACTATTTATTATCTTAGATACGATAAATGTTTTTTACGACTATATAACTATTAAACAAATATTTAATAAATGCTTCAGTTGGGGGTGTTCAGCTCGCGTCAGTTCTTGGTTTTCGGTAAAGGTAAGTTGTCAACCGTATACACTAAAGTTGCAGTTTGAAACCGTATGGAGTTTCTTATTCTGGAAAAAAACACTAAATAAATTTAGCGTTACGATACAGTATTAATGTGTGTGTGTAACTTTTTTAGTATAATTTATAAGATTTCCTTTTTTAAATTTGTAAAAATTTTGAACATTATTCGATAAGTAAAAAGCAAAAAGAGGAAAAGTTTTCATTTAAAAGTATTTGCAGTATCTTTACACACATGCTCATATACGTAGAACCGGAATATTACCACGACCTTGTAGACAATCACAGAATTTACCGGGCTGGGGTCCAAACCTCCGTCTAATTCTCATAAAGCGGACTCAGGATGAACTTGTAGCTCATGAGTTGCAAGTGTCTATAGGTGGTAGTCACTTACTTTCAGGTCATCCGACTGCTGATTTGCCCTCCTATACCATAAAAAAATACACACACATCTGTATCCTGAAAGAAGTAGGATGAAACAAATTAAATAACCACATTTCGGTTAAGCCGGCTATGTTTTCACGTCACATTTAACAAAAGGCATATCAGGATTAAATGAAGGGGAAACTTGTATTTTTTCATTTTAAACTCGAGCAGAGTTATGTTTTTTCCTCGAATTGATCAAATAAAATTATTATTATTGGCAAAAACGTTTGCAGCACTCAAAAACACGATTGTTACTAATAAAAATTGGTTCAGTCTTTTATCTATATGTGTAATTAGTTGTACTTACAGTTCCAGTTTAAAAAAAACTATTTCAATATTATGTTTTTGGAGCATTATATTCATAGAATAAAAAGTGCTAATTTCTGTTTAGATGACGACGGGTGTACTGAAGACGTCAATCTTGTCGTTGGTGATCATTTCTGTGTACGGTTTACCAGACTTGAAAAGTTTATCTGAAAGTAATGAAGTTATTACAAAAAATACTATATTTGGCGATGAGCGGTTGGCAGGAGAGATCTTCGAGGACGTCGATGCCTACACTAATATGGAACTTAGTCCTATGAATGGAGATGCCTCCAACTACAGATTACCGAACACTACAATTCCGACACACTACAATATATTATTCGCCATCGACTTATCACAAGAACCGTTGAGGCAGTCTGGAACCGTTGAAATTCATCTTCAAGCCACTCAAGAATCAGTCAATGAGATAGTAATTCACTCAGATGCACTAACTCTTTCCAGGATAGAATTGACTCAGGGAAATAACCAAATATCTATAACTCATGATGTTGATACTATAAATCAACTCTTGAGAATTCGTCTTGCTAATGGCTATCTTGCCTACAATGTTGATCCCATTAATCCTGTAATTTATATTCTGACAATTGATTTCGGATCTGAGTTGCGAGATGACATGCGTGGGATTTATAGAAATTGGTACAGAAACGACGCTTCTGAAGGCGTTAGGTACAATAATAAGTTTATTTAAATACTCTAACATTAGCTTAATATAATTTGTTCTGTGTTTGGGTGTAATTTATCTATATTATGTATTTATTTAGAAATATGTAAGTATGTTTATCAGCAGTCTGGTTACTATAGTACACACTCTGTCTAGTTTGGGATAAAACGACCATGTGTGAGATGTGTGAAGTTATTATTATCATTACAGTATTTTACGAACCTTATTTATGTTTATAGATGATGTGAAATTCAATGCTGGTCGTTAAAATTAAACTTAGGGCTAGAACAAAAGATTAATAAGTTCTCTTATAGCTATGACGCTAGCTTTAGCAATTATAAGCTTTTCGAGTTATGATTAATGCGTAAACTATACTGTTTATTTTTCCTAGAAGTGTTCATAAAAGTCGTACAGATTGACCCGTCGTTATATCGGTAGACTGTATTGTTGTTTTTTTATTTTATTTTAAATAACATGTATATTATTTAACACTTTAAGGTGGATGGCTTCAACGCATTTCCAGGCTACTGCGGCTCGCTGGGCTTTTCCTTGCTACGATGAACCAAGTTTTAAAGCTACATTTAGTGTCACTATCAGACGGCAAATATCTTACCGGAGTTGGTTTTGCACCAGGCTTCTGGCAACAAGACCATCTCCAAACACCCCTGGGTAATTATACACCCGTCATTTATATTATTTATCGGTCATATTTATTATAATTATTTGTTTGGGCCTCCTAATACTAATACTATTATAATACAGCTTTGAAGATGACGTATACCACACTACTCCTATAATGTCCACATATTTGCTGGCATTAATCGTCGCTGAATATGACAGTATCATTGTAACAAATACGGATGGGGCTCTAAGTTACGAAGTTATTGCCCGTCCAGGTGCTATAACTACTGGTCAAGGACAATATGCCTTAGAAGCAGGGCAAGCGCTTTTAACAGAAATGAGTAGCCATACAGCCTACGATTTTTACTCAATACACCCGCAGCTCAAAATGACTCAAGCTTCAGTTCCTGACTTTAGTGCCGGTGCTATGGAAAATTGGGGGCTCCTTATATACAGGTATGTATGAAAAAGGCTCATCTAGTAATTTTCGGATGTACATATATCGTACATGTGAAATCAATTATGATATGTTTTTGTCGAATTAGGATTGTCTGTGCTATTGATTGACAGTATCCCATACTGTGATTTAATTGAGAATTTTAATAATAATGATATCAAAATAAATCTCAAGCAAGAAATATTGTTTTGTAATAAACGAGGCAGAAATCGCAGCTCAAACGTGACACTAGTAGTATCCCAAAGTCATTTCGAAAACACAGCGTGACGTATTTTTTTCCATTATGGCCATCTTCTGTTAACTCATGAATTATTAAAAGAGCTTGAAAAAATATGGCGATAGTGGAACAGTCAACAAAACGAAAAGCAGTGTTCTAAAAAAGAGAAGCTGTGGCCTATGCACAATAAATTGTAGAATAGTATGGGATATTGAAAACAAGTGAAATAGGTATAATAGTATTGGGTCATCAACATCATCAACAGCCTCTAACAGTCCACTGTTAGACTTAGGCATCTCTTAGGAAAGGAGCTTTTGGCGAACTATACCACGCTGCCCAGACGGGTTGGTATAGGGTTTGTCTCAAGTTTTCCTTCTCTTTGCAGTGCCGACTGAGGGAGCAAACTACGCAGGACAATAGTCCTGCGTAGTTTGCTCCCTCAGTCGGCTCTTACGACTCTCACGGGATGAATAGGGGTGGTGACACTTTGTATTCTTAATCCGTCACCACACGGACAATAAGTATTGGGTATAGATGGTGAATAATAGAAAAGTATAAATTGTTTAGAATTGTTAAGATACGTATGAAAATGAATCAGTGTCAGGACTATTTAATCCAATTTCTCAATTTTCTTTTTACTTTTAATATTTCTTTTCTTTTTTGATTGTTTTAAATATCTTGGTAATTAAATTTTTGTGGATTTTTTCTTTTTGATAAATTTTAGTAGAAATAAGAAGTTCGAAAGATTTCTTTGTCTATGGATTTTTTTTTTATTCTTACAAAACTTTTCTTTTCTCTTCACAACCATATTAGTGACCGTTATTTTCGTTACTATATCGCTTACTGACTTTTAGTTTATATTTTAACATTTTTAAACTGTATATGAGGTTTTCGGAACTATTTAAATCTAAATATATTTTTGAGTATGTAAATAATTTTGTCTGTCGATTTTTTATTATTCAACTGTTCACTGTTGCAGAGAGGCCTATTTAATGGTAGATGAAAATGAAACTAATAGCCTGTTCAAGCAAAGAATTGCTTCTGTATTGTCTCATGAAATTGCTCACATGTGGTTTGGCAACCTCGTCACCTGCGACTGGTGGGACAACCTCTGGCTCAATGAAGGTTTTGCTAGATACTACCAATACTTCCTCACATCCTGGGTAAGACTGTAAAGTTAAATATAATAAAGGTCACTTGGATTAACTTTTTTATTTAATTTTAACTACTTTAAGTTATTGTTAGCAATTGAAAGTGTGAAATATAAGATTTGCTAGTGTATATGTTGATATATTAGATTATTTCTCAGTGCTTGGTTTTTAAGAAAGAAAAATAAATGCGTCTGCTTTTGACCGAGGTTCAGTATGTTGTATATGTGCATACTTACTATTCAGTTAGTTAATATGTTTTATTTTTAGACTGTTCCCTTAAAAAAACACTTATTAGTTATATAGACTGTAGACTAGACTGACTAGATATAGACTGTAGTTTCTGTATATATTTCTTTAATGTACCCCTTTATGTGTTGTTTTAATATCATTTCCACAATACAGGTGGAAGGTATGGGCTTCGATATTCGTTTTATTACTGAACAAGCGCATACTTCTCTACTGGCTGACTCAGCTAATAATCCACACCCGTTGACTGCTTCGGGCCTTAATACAAATCCTGCCGTAAGAACCATGTTCTCAACCATCAGCTATAATAAAGGTGCTTCTATCATTAGGATGACTGAACACCTCTTGGGCTTTAATGTGCACCTACAGGGCCTGAGAAACTATTTACGTGGAAGGTAATCTTATGTTTAATTAATTTATAAATGACTCCATGACTAGATGGCGTAGTGGTTTAAGCGGTTGCCTCGCCGATTTCTACTGCTCTGAGTGTTATGGGTTTGATCCCCATGTGGGACAACACTTTGTCTGACCTACAAATTATTGTTCTGAGTCAAAGTTTTCTTTGTGTCCGTTTCGGTGAATATTTGTAGAGTCGCAACACACAGTATATTCCTAGTGTTGGAGGAGTCTTTTAAAAAAGAAAAAATATTTTAAATATACATCTGTTATGATCATGATGAAATTGTTGCTGAATCATTCCTGTAAAGTCAAGACGCGAGACACATTTTCCGCAGAGTATCGAAAGTTAGAGAGCTCAGAGATATCTACAAAACCTTGAGTGAGTTGTTGACCATTAATTGTTGACGAATATTCTTAGTTGTCACAGTTGAGGCTTACAAACATCTAAAAGTTCACGACCTGTTTACAAAATAAGGATCTTATTTCCACTATCTCTTTCTACAAAGTATTAGAAATCATTTAAAATACATTTCAATTTCAGAGAATTCAAAACCGCCCTTCCAATTCACTTATTCGAATACCTAGAGCAAGCAGGTGTCCAAGCCGGAGTATTGAATTACGCTGATTTTTCTCTTATCGATTACTATAAAAGTTGGACAGAACAACCTGGACATCCTGTCCTGAACATTTTAGTCAACCATCAAACTGGTGAAATGACAATACAGCAGGTGAGATTTATTTTAAAGAATTTCAATTTATAATCAGTAATAACCAAAGCAGCCATGTTTAAACTTGCTGTGTAATTTCAATAAAAAAATAACTACATCGTAACTTTGTAACAATTTTTCAGCGCCGTTTTAACATCAACACTGGTTACTCTACCAGTAATAACAATTATATTGTGCCTATAACATTCGCTACAGCCAGCAACCCGAACTTTGGTGACACCAAACCTACACACATTATCTCTCAGGCTGTCAGTATTATCAACCGTGGATCTGTTGGTGATGAATGGGTTATTTTCAATAAGCAGCAGACTGGTAAGTGGAAAAATATCTAAATTAGAAAAGCTCTCAGTCAAATTTTGTTTATTGTGATTTATAAATTCACAGGTTTCTACAGAGTTAACTACGATGAATATACCTGGGACCTTATTTCTGTAGCTCTTAAGGGTGCTGATAGAACATTGATTCATACATATAATAGAGCACAGGTATGAGAACCTATTAATTTTTACATAATATGTAATAATAATTTTATTTTTAATTACATTTTTTTTTCGGGGTTAATGCTTAATATAAAATTCTTTCATTTTCCATTTTCAGATTGTTGATGACGTCTTCCAATTCGCTCGTTCTGGTATCATGACGTATACTCGTGCATTAAATATTCTGTCTTTTCTCGAAAATGAGACTGATTACGCGCCATGGGTTGCTGCCATAACTGGTTTTAATTGGCTTAGAAACCGTCTTGCTAGTGCTACAACTGTTACTGAGCTCAACCAACTTAATGTAAGTAATTTGTATCAGTAACACATTTTTACTAATATGGTCGGATGATGGTTTAAGCTATGGTCACGCCGCTTCCTACTACGCTGAGTGTGTTGTAGGTTCGATCAACAAATTGTCGTAAACGGACACAAAGAACACCCAGACTCACGGGGTGTTCTTTGTGTCCGTTTCATGTATGTTTGTAAAGTCCCCCGCGACACAGGATACATTACTAATGCGGGAGTTGTCTTTCAGTATACATGTATACCTATATATAATATATATAAAAAAAGGAAAAATAATCGCCTTGAATCCGAATCCACAAAGACTGACAAAATGTAAGTCATTGCAGGGCTTAGTTCCCGACCCTCAAAAATATCAAAAATGATAGAAGGTCGAATTACTAGTACTGCCAAAGCCAAAATACTAGTGCTCTCGATAAAGTTAATATGCTTTACGTTAAAAAAGAAAGCTTCATTAAAATAATATATACTTTTTCCCTCGGTGGTGCGGTGGTAGCGTATGCGACTGCTGTGCTGAGTCTCGCGTTCGATGCCCGAGTCTGACCAAATGTTTGTATGATCTGCAAATATTTGTTTCGGAGTTTAGGTGTTTAAAAAAAAGTATATGAGTATTCTTTCAACCTAGCTTTCATAGTACAAGTTCAAAATTTGATTACAAAACACATTCCCATCGTCCATGACTTATCCTTGAAAAATATAAGAGGATGAAAAGTTTTGTAAGGTATTTTACCGACAACTCAAAAAATTTACATCAAAAATTGTAGTTTTTATATTACTGTACCTAATAGGCTAAACTTATTTAACAGGCACTTATCGCTGGATGGGCATCAAGGGTGATGGCTTCAATAACATACTACCCCGTTTCTGGCGAGACTTTCATGCAGTCATACTTGCGTTTACAACTTGCTCCGGTGATGTGCCGCTTGGGAGTGCAAGACTGCATTGATGCTGCTCTCAGCCAATTTCAAGCTCTAGTTGTGAACAATATCCCGTAATATCTTATACTCTTTATTAATGAAACTAGAAAGTTGTAATTTATCACATTGATAATCTTGGTAATTAATATTATAGTGAAAACCAGGATATACGGTAGGATGAATTAAAATAGAATATGAATGGACAAAACTACAAAGTTATCTAATAAAAGTACTAGTTATTGGAATTATATAGATACATTTGTGGAATTCGTGGTGACGGATTAAGAATACAGACTGTCACCACCCCTATTCATCCCGTGGGTGTCGTAAGAGGCGACTAAGGAAGCAAACTAAGCAGGACAACAGCTCTGCAGAGAGAAGGAAAACTTGAAACAAACCCTATACCAACCCGTCTGGCCAGCGTGGTATAGTAGGCCAAAACCTCCTTCCTAAGGAGAGGCCTATGTCCAGCAGTGGACTAGTAAAGGCTGTTGATGATGATGATTTGTGGAATTCGTTTACGAATAAGTTAGATATATTATATTGTAACTAATAAATTGTATTTGATACTTAATGTTACTCATGCTTAATTTGTATCTAGATGTTCGGACCATAAAACAAAAAATAATATTACACGATTAATTTTTCAAAAGATTGTTCATTACAACATATGATTTCAACAATTTTTTTAACATCCCTGTTGTTTTGCAATATTAACAAAATATTTTTCATAAATTGTTTCAGAGTACCAGTTGATAGTCGAAACTGGGTGTACTGTAACGCTCTTCGGCATGGAGGTGCGACGGAGTTCAACTTTCTGTGGATGAGATTCATAGCACACAACGTCTATACTGAAAAGATTCTAATTCTTGAAAATCTTGGATGCACAAAAGATGCTTCGTCTTTAGAAATGTAAGTCTGAACATAACTGTATTTGTACTGCACATTTATTTGTCATTGTGTTAATTTTCATTGTGCTAGTATCACCGTATTTTTTTTTATATATTTTGCTTTATTTATGTTTTTTTAGGCTTTTCAATGCTATTGTGAATCCAAACTTCATAATACGGCCCCAAGATTATACAAATGCACTCAGTTCAGCAGTTAGTGGTAATGAAGAAAATACTGACATTGCTCTACAATTTATGCAACTGAACCTTAACCTCGTCGCCAGCGCGTAAGTATTTGATTTAATAGTTTTGAAGAATGCAGTGGAAATAAGAATGGGATAAAATTTATCTCTTTGACTTAAAACCACTTACTGAATCCTAATACAATAGTAGTGACGGTGAGCTGTCGAAAAGAACTAGATTAGAGAGTCAGAGCAATTGATGCGTTATGGTCCACGTTACCCGGAGTGGAAACGGGTCCAGATAGTCCTTAGCAAGGACGCCATCCATCATCTTAGCCATCGGAGATTGTTTGACATTGACACAAAGAAGCGAAAACATGATTTATTCATCGACGCCTGAGACACACACAGTACATTCAATGGAGGAATAACACAAATCCATATAATTAATATAAGTTTTTAACAAAATTTCTATGTAAACATACCCTGCCTTTATATTAATTAGATTCAGCTTATCTAAATTTAATAACTTTGATTTGAATCACATTTGACCGTTATAGAAATAAAATGATGTGTTATGTTTCAGTTTTAATGATTCTGTCGTGAGTCTGTCTGTAGCGACACCTCTCTCATACGTCATTGCGAGACTGCGGTCCAACGAACGTATCAATGAAGTAAATATATTTCAGTTATTATTGTTTGAATTTTAATTATGTAATTGGTTGTATTATTTTTTTATGAATTTCAGCATGATATTTAAAGTACCATTTATGTTTAATACAGTTCACGACATGGGCTACGGCAAATCAGCAGAATCTAGGAAGCAGTTTTGAAACTGTTATGGGCTATGCTAATTCAGCTCGGGCGAGCATAGCTTGGGCAGAATCAGTTAGAGACGATATCAGGTACTACTTCGAAATTGGAGCTGAAACACCAACAATATCTACGTCTGCTCCTGTAACGAGTACAATAACTGAATATATTAGTACTGAGTACGACACAGATACTACAGCACCGATTACTACTGAATTAACGACGTCCACGACTACTACTACTACTACTACAACGACTACAACTACTACTGAAGCACCTATTATAATAGAACCCACTACTGACCAGCCACCATCCACGCCTTCGTCTGCTACGACGAGTTTCATAGCAAGATGTATGCTCTTCATCACGATAACATTATTCCCATTATTATAGGTTCTGACAATGTAAACTAAGTACTTTAAAGAACAAAGGTGTTCCAAAGACCCTTTAGAGTTAAGTTCTATTGTAATATAGATATTATTTTTACATTTTTTTAATTAAAAATATTTTGTATTAAAGTATAACTCGGTTTTATTTATTTTTTACCTAGTAAATTAAACATTTCAGTAGAGAACAGTAGTGTCTCAACTGTAAATTTTACTTTTCTTGAAAACAATGCGTTTTGTTAGTCATAGCACTTAAAATATACTAACTAAAGATTAAATAATTAGTTTAATGAAATGGTTTAGCATCTACTTAGATGGCTTGTTATTTTGAAAACATTACTGATGACATGAGTCAGTAGATTACCTTCCACGTAAATAGTTTTTAAGGCCCTGTAGGTGCACATTAAAGCCCAAGAGGAGTTCAGTCATCCTAATGATAGAAGCACCTTTGTTATAGCTTATGGTTGAGAACATGGTTCTTACAGTATTAAGGCCCGAAGCGGTCAACGGGTGTGGATTATTAGCTGAGTCAGCCAGTAGAGAAGTATGCACTTGTTCAGTAATAAAACGAGTATCGAAGCCCATACCTTCCACCTGCATTGTGGAAATGATATTAAAACAAATATATAAAGGGGTGCATTAAAGAAATATATGTAGAAACTAAAACACGTAAACCGCTCTCTAAATTTGCATTGATGCTACGAGTACTTTTTAACACGGTTAAGAAAAATATCTGCATTTAACGAGAATCAATCACTAATTTACTACTTCTAGTGAACCAAATATGCAGCTTGGGAAAGATGAATTTATAAATGTAGGTATTCTGTGTATTAGTAGAGCTTTATTACTTTATTAGAAACTTTAATAAAAGTAACTGTATAAAACAATCATTACATAAAAATGTATTGTGATTATTCTGACTTATTTGGATGGGGAAGGTTTACATCTGTTTTAGATCAGAAATTATAGGTGATTATAATAAAATTCACAACCTATGTGTAGATAGTTAAGCAAGATTTTGGTTTTACACTTGCGTATTATCGATCTGTTCAACACACCGAGATTCTTTGAGGCTAATTTGACCTTACCCTCTAAGTGATCCATAAATTAGACTTCGCTCAATATGTCGAAACAGAGAAGCACGATCACGCAAGTTCTGTTTGAAGTCCTTATGAGTATCGTACAAGTCGAGTTGAACCCTTTTGATTACAAGATTTGGCTTTTGAGTTCAGTAATTACTACGCTGTTATTATATCTCAGAATAACACAAACATCATTTGAATATGATGCTTCTATTAATATCAAGTTCTATTTTGAATGTTCCTCTTTATTGCTAGTAGTAATTCAATACATAAACCTTGCTTTAAAATCTCAAGCTTGGATCTTTCAAAAGCTTATCTCACTAATTTAATTTAGTAACGTCGCAGCAGCCAGGTATTTTACTCCGTACTGGCTGACCCACCTCACTTCGTCTGCGTCCCTAAACAGGATTTGGCTCCTTTTAGTCGTAGTGTGATGTTATAGAGCCTATGGCCTTGATAAATGGGCTATATAATTTTAAAAGATTTTCAAATTCGAACTAGTAGTTCAAAGTTCAACCAAACAAACAAACAATTTTTTTTTGCTTTATAATATCAGTATACATGATAACATTACTTCAAATTAAGGAAAAATTAATTCTGATATATGACCGAATAGAGTAACCGCATAACCGACCAGTCAACACAATTTCGGCTATCTTCAAATAGTTATTAGTTATACAATTTATTATTGAACATATTTTATAACTGTTAACAGTCTTTATTGCTATTGTAATATTTTATTCACTGGATTTCTTTCGATAAAAATGTAGGTTGGCTTAAAGAATTTATCTATACCTATTATAAAAATGGTAATGGATATTTGTTGATTAAAACGATGCAAACTTTTCAGCTCGCGTTTATGTGATATCTAATTAGTAATCACTTTACGGGAATTAACGCGCTTACGATAGGTACAGTCAGCCTGAGACCACGCCTAGTGCACCATGGTCGAAAAGGCATGCAAACATAGTACACAAAAGCCATTTTAAATAAAAATTGGAAGGCGTTCTAAAATCAGTACTAACTACTGTATTCATTCCTATGATTTGAATTAATTGTCTGTATATGTGTATGTATGTCCGGCTGCGTATTGGATGCACATCAAGCCGATACTACGGAATATTTCTTATCATGATTTCACTTTATATGAACTTAAAGGTGGTAGGGTACTAAAGTTTGTATGAAAAACTATTTAATAATATCTCAAGCTTGTTTCGGTGGGTTTTGATGTTTAGATAAACATGACGTTACGAACAAAGGGCTTACTTTTTATACGAAACATGAATAAAATACTGAAAAAATGGCATAATGATAAAAACAAAAAAAAAATTATCCTCATTTATACTTCACCTTTTGGAATCCATGATGATCACCAGCTACTCAATGACCGACAATATGGTTTTCACCGGGGTGGCTCAGCTGGTGATCTTCTCGTCTTTCTAACATACCGGTGGACACAGGCGATCGAGACCAAAGGGGAGGCTTGTGCGGTTAGTTTGGACATAGCGAAGGCCTTTGATCGGGTCTGGCATAAGGCGCTTCTTGAGCTTCCCGAGAAATTGTATAATTGGGTCACCAGCTTCCTTGCAGACAGAAACATTACCTTGTCGACGGTGCATGCTCCGACTTGAAATTCGTAAATGATGGTGTCCCACAAGGCTGTGTGCTACCCACACTGTTTCTTCTGCATATCAATGACATGTTGCAAACTAATAGCATCCATTGCTATGCAGATGAAAGCACAGGAGATGCCTTTTATACCGGCCGCCCCGATATTTCTCGGGAAAACATCATCGAGAGTCGAAACAAACTTGTGTCTGAAATTGAAACTTCCTTAGCGGAGGTTTCAGATTGGGGCCGACTAAATCTAGTCCAGTTTAACCCAAAAAAGACACAGGTATTAGCGTTCACCGCAAAAAAAGATGCCATTTGTCGTATCACCTCAGTTTGAGAGCACCTCCCTAATTGCATCAGCCAGCATCGGAATTCTAGGCATCGACATATCGAGCGAAGTCCAGTTTCGGTTTCGGTAGTTATATTCACGTTTTTCTTTCTTTTCTGGGCGGAAATCCTCTCGGATACCACCGGCGGGTGGCTATATCTCGGGCTCGAACCGATGAAAAACCTCGGGTACCAGTAGCCGTGGAACCAGGTGTAGAAAGGTAATCCCTGATACCCCGATTGAACGATAATATTAACCTAGCAATTGTCTCTCCTTCAATAGTGTTACTCATTTCTTCGAGGAAATTAGGGTTGTCTTTAAAAAGAAAAACGTTTATTCTGAATATTTGATTACTAGTTTATTTTATTTTGCATTAAACTCTATTATGACCAATAACATCTCAAACAAATTTAATAATATTATTTTCACACATCTCACACACGGCCGCCTGATCCCAAACTAGGTAGAGCCTGTACTAAAATCTAGGTGTTAACTAGCTTGATAAACTAGGCACCGTGAGACCGTACTACCTGGCCGTCGATCAGCAGGTCACTGAATTAGACTCCTGAGTCCATAGTGTACATGTAGCTTCATACCTAAAGTACGGAACCCAAACTTGCATATGCCCTCAAAAATAATAGATTTATGGACATGGTTGAAGTTCTGCTTTTGTTGGGACTATGAATGATGACGACTGCTGTGTTAAGCGATTTGTTTAAACTTCGTAAACGTAATGGTTGATACTTTCAACAGTTTTATTCAAAACTTTACAGGCAAGTATATCTCTATTAGATATTTACGACTATATAGTTTTCATTAACTTAGTTTCTTTGTAGATTTTATCGGTTAGTATCGTAAACGAACAGATAATAGCAGTAATATTAAATATTATATATATTTATATTCATACGATAAGGTGATAAGTGCCGAAATTTGAGGACTATATTTTGATATTTATGATAATTCATGATACTAGGGATTATGATTACATACTATAATGTACATTTCGATAATTATTGGCAGTTGCGGGGTTTCAGCCCGCCCTAGTGGTCGTAACTAATTAAAGGTAAGTTGTCCTTTTTTTAAATAAATGCGTTTACTATCAGCTGTGTTTAAGGTTAACTCACTTTATATTCACTTTTAAATCATTTTAAAATGGAGGTGGAATCACAGCTTGCATTGAAATGTAACAAGTACACGTGGCATCCATGGAGTGCTGTTGTAACTTTACAATTTTATGGAAACACTAAGGACTTATTTTCACCGAAGAAAAGACATGACACTAATTTTAAACCTTCATTTCTGAAATTGCCCCACATTCTAAGTGTTAGATTTTTTCTGTTGATATTCGTAATGAGTACTTAAATAATAATACAATGCAGACGGCTTTTTGAGGGTTACGGGTTCGATGCACGGTTCGAGTTAAGACTAGTCGTATTTTGTATATGTTGTGCGTTATCTTTTAATATAGTTATGGTGATGTTTGATGACAGGACAGGATTTCTTAACAATAGATAACAGTAATACAGACTTTGAAGTTAGGTCAAAGTCGATTCCAATTTTGTGATCGTAAAAATATCCCATTCATTATTTTGGTTACTTTTTATGATAGAAATTAATGATTGCATTACGATCAGTTGTACTATTGTCACATCAAACATAAGGCTTCTTGTACGGTAGTTTCTACTTAGTAGCTAATTTCCTTAAAGTATGAGTGTCCTTCAACTTTAAAACAATATTATCAGGAGAAACTAAAAAAAAATATGCATATGATTATAATCATTTTCTAAGTGTATTTAAAAGTAAGTAGTCATTATTTCAAACTTCGAAATTGATAGTCAGAGCCCACGTTTATCGCAATCCATCCACGTGCAAGGGATTAGAAAATAATTTATTACTTTGACTAACTGATAAAACACCTGAATATTTTTTTTTTATTGTGGACTGTCTTTAAATATAAACCGTATGTAATATCGTGTGGTAGGTAAATATCATTCTAAGGAGTATTAAATGGAATTTATGATAAGTTAGTAAGTTAATAATCGCTCTTATCAGAAATTAATGTTTTATCAAATGAAATGTGATACATAATTTGGTAAATTAGTTGTAAACGGTTATTGTAGTTATAAATTGTAAAAAACTAAGTTAGTTAATTAGCTGTAGAGACATCCTAAAACTGAGCAAACCACCTATTCTTAGTACATAGGTTTTCCTTTCACATTTTTAAATAACGATTCTTGAATCTATTGGTCCATAATTAATATTTTAATTAAATTAAATTTTTAAAGCCATATCTATAAAATAATTTAAAAAAATATATTTCAATTTGCATTTGTTTTCTGTTTAGATGGAACCAAAAAACCTGTTAATTCTGTCTATGGTGTGCCTGTGCGCACACGGGCTGTCCTCTGAGACAGACTTTTTCCCCACCAACATACCTAGTGACAGAAACACCATTTTTGGGGATGAGCAATTGCCAGGAGAGGTTTTCGAAAAATTAGATATCTTTAGTAACACTCAACTGGCGTCCAGAGTCAGCTCATCGTACAGACTTCCTACCACAACCAGACCAATCCACTATGACGTACTATGGGCCATTAGTTTTTTGGAAGATGTTCCTACAATGAATGGAACAGTAAGAATTCAGCTTCACGCCACACAGGCAAATGTCAACCAAATAGTAATTCACAGTGATGATTTGACTATTGAGAATGTGCAGCTAACTCAAGGCACAACTATTTTGCCAGTAACTTTTGAAGTTAGCGAACAAAATCAGCTATTGATAATTACTCTTGCCACTGGAAATCTGCCCTTTAGCACGAATCCTGCAAACCCTGTAATTCATCAGTTACAAATTGAGTTTAGAGCTAATTTAAGGAATGACATGTATGGTATTTATAACAATTGGTTCAGAAACAACGCTACCGATCAAATAAGGTATGTATTACAATTTATTACAAAAAGATAGTTTAAAAAAATTGAACTAACGTTGTCAATATACGAGTATTTATTGCCATAGAAAATCACAACACTACTTCTTGCATAATCTGATGAATACAATAGCTAGTAATAGCTCACCTATTCAAAAAATAAATCACTGTTAGGCATCATCACCCTTTGGAATTTAGATTAGATAGATAATAATGAACTCCACAAGAAAGTATAATAAATAAAATCATTGTAATTGACATCAACATCATTATAAAATGTTTTCGAAAATGTGACACTGGGAACATTTAATCCGGTTATTTTCAAGCTGAATGAATTACTTGTTGGCTTCTACTGTTCCTTTTCTATAACACTCTTAAAAGGTAGGCCACCCTAAAAACACAAGAAATTTTAAGAATGTAGAATTATAAAATATTCATCTGTTTATAGATACATGGCTTCAACGCAATTCCAAGCAACAGCAGCCCGATGGGCTTTTCCTTGCTATGATGAACCGAGTTTTAAGGCTACTTTTAATGTCACTATCAGACGTCAAATTGGCTATGAAAGTTGGTTCTGCACCAGGCTCATCGAATCAGTACCATCAGAAAATACCCCTGGGTAATTGTTGTTTATGTATTTATCGATATTTTTTGTTATTTTATTTCTTTGATCGGTCTAATACTATGTTTCTGCACAGATTTGAAGATGATATATACCACGAGACTCCTATAATGTCTACATATCTTTTGGCAATAATTGTAGCTCAATATGATTATATCAAACTCAACAACTCAGAGGGTCTTCTAACTTACGAAGTTATTGCCCGGCCAGGTGCCATAGAAGCTGGTCAAGGAGAATTTGCATTTGAGTTCGGCCAAGAGCTTTTAAGCGAAATGAGCAACCACACAAATTACGATTTTTACTCCCAACACCCACATCTGAAAATGACTCAAGCTGCCATTCCTGATTTTGGAGCAGGTGCCATGGAAAACTGGGGTCTACTTACGTATAGGTATGTATTAATACTATGTTATTATCAGAGTCAGAAGTGTAGTCGTTAAAAGATTTTACTTCTCCTAAACCACACAGTGGATTTTCATGCAGCCAGCAACCTTCAGTTAGATACCATAAAGATAGTTACAATGCCCTTGAAAAAACTAAAGTCTTTCCAAACGATGAAATTTAAAATACATTTTTCAGAGAAGCTTATTTGATGTACGATCCAGAGGAAACTAACAGCAATTTCAAACAAATCATTGCTTATATTCTGTCTCACGAAATTGCTCACATGTGGTTTGGTAACCTCGTCACTTGCGATTGGTGGGACAGCCTTTGGCTCAATGAAGGTTTTGCTAGATACTATCAATACTTCCTCACAGAATGGGTATGTTTTTTTCTTAATTTTACACCCATTCCCAAAGCAACAAATCTCTTTTTTCGCCTACTTAGTTAATGGCATTTTAAATTAAATTTGTGTATGCTTAAAATAAATAAATAAACATTGCATTGGCTTTCAGAATTTGCTTGATACATAATTATATTTTGATAAAATATTAGAGATTTATAATGTAATCCGTTACTCATTGCCATTTTCTTAATAAATGCAAAATTGTTAAGTCACTAAAATATTTTCGTTTGTTTTTTTTTTCGTTTAGGTCGGAGGCATGGGCTTTCGTACCCGATTCATCACCGAACAAGTTCACACTGCCCTTTTAAGTGACTCTGCTAACAATCCTCAACCTTTGACCAATCCAGGTCTCAATAGTAATGCTGCGGTTAGCGCTATGTTCAGTACAATCAGTTACAATAAAGGCGCTGCTGTCATTAGAATGACTGAACATCTTCTAGGTTATGAAGTGCACCGTCAGGGTTTAAGAAACTATTTAGTAGAAAGGTAAATTAAAAATACTAGGCTAATTAATAAAGTATTGGGAATGTAAAAAACTAAGTGTCTCATAAGATAACAAAAGAAGAAAATTAACAAAAAAAAAACATTTTGTTCCTGCTTAACAAAGCCCGTTCAAATCGTTTGCTATTTGTTAGTTAGTAGTAGTTCAGTGCATTAGATTTTGTTCTTTTCATTGACACCAAGGACAGAACCAGTAGTTGTGGAAAGCCTATGTCCAGCAGTGGAAGATTGACACAAATATGTTATAATAAAAAAATATAACCGAAACAGTAAAAAACTGCAACGTTTAAGTAAATTACTGATAAAAAAACTGTTTTTTTTTTCTGTTTCCACAGAATAATATGAATTACAAATACATGTGAAATTACACTTTCAGGGAATTCCAAACTGCTGTACCTCTTCAACTATTTCAACATCTAGAGCAAGCAGGTAATGCAAATGGAGCTCTGAACTACGGCCCCGATTTCTCCTTCATCGATTACTATAAAAGCTTTACTGAACAACCCGGGCATCCCGTTCTAAATGTTCAGGTCGACCATAGAACCGGTCAAATGCGTATTTACCAGGTATTACATGATGCATAATTTAACAGATTTTATCCTATAATTTAATTGTGCTAGTTATTATAATATAATATTTCTTCAGCGCCGTTTTAACATCAACACTGGCTACTCTACCATCGGTAACAATTACATTGTTCCCATTACTTTCGCCTCAGCAAGCAATCCAAACTTTGAAAACACCAAGCCTACACACATCATCTCTCAGGCTATCAGTACCATCAACCGCGGATCTGTTGGCGATGAATGGGTGATTTTTAATGTTCAGCAGACTGGTAAGTAAAAAAATTATATATTATTTTTGTAATGAAGAATATGTTCAAGCTGTAATAAACTAAAACTTTGCAAATTTATAAATTTATAGGTTTCTACAGAGTTAACTACGATAATTATACTTGGGACCTTATTGCCCTTGCTCTAAGGAGCAATAATAGAACGCTAATTCACGAATACAACAGAGCCCAGGTATGAGTATTTCCCAAATTAAATTAAAAAGAAACTAAACTAACTAAAAACTATTTTATTTACTTTTATTTAAATGTATTTTAATTACTTTTGTGACTTTTATTTATTATCAGCTGTATTATAGGTTTCGAGTTTAGAGCATTTGACTTTCATTTCAGATTGTTAATGACGTGTTCCAATATGCGCGTGCCGATATTATGGATTACAGCCGCGCTTTGAATATACTGTCTTTCCTCCAATATGAGACTGATTACGCCCCATGGGCCGCAGCTCTAACTGGCTTTAGTTGGCTCAGGAACCGACTTCAAAGTGCTCCTACCACTACTGAGCTTAATCAACTTAATGTAAGTGAATATTGGGCAATTATATCTGAGAGCTGACGTAAAGATTACTATCTTGATGAAGATTCATAATCGTTTAAGTTTATTCCAATCTCATTTTGAATTTGTTTAACAGAATCTTATTGTACAATGGGCAGCACGCGTGATGTCATCGCTCACTTACAATCCTATTCCTGGCGAGGACTTCTTACGATCGTATTTACGTTTCCAACTTGCTGCATTGATGTGTAATTTGGGAGTGCAAGAGTGCATTGATGAAGCAAGAGCTCAGTTTGCAGCTCTAAGTGTCAACGGCACCCCGTAAGTGTCTTCTCGACTCCTGCTCAGAATAAATATTTGTATGCATACATATGGCTATTGGACGTTTGTATTAAAAAAAAATGAAAAGCATTTTTAACTGTCTTCTTGAACTTAACATATACTTAAACTTATTGCCTTTATTACTGTACTACCTTTTAAATACTAACTGTTTATAGTCAGTACACTAAGCAATTGCTGACTGAGCTTTAAAGCAAATAGAACTACTAAATATGTTGAATTTTGAAATCTTGGATGTAATCTAATATTTTTTTACACAGAGTGCCAGTTGATAACCGTAACTGGGTATACTGTAACGGTCTTCGCCATGGAACTGCTTTGGACTTTAATTTCTTGTGGAATAGGTTCCTAACCCATAACGTGTACACTGAAAAAATTCTGATCCTGCAGAATATAGGATGCACAAGAGATCCTGCTTCTCTACGAACGTAAGTTAAAGCATACACTATATTTTAAATAAATATAGGTATGAGTGAGATGTTTTTACACATTTTAAAGCAAGTTGTCCTCACTGTGAAATTTGATATCTCATTTTTTTTAAATATATAACTACTATTAAAACCTAATATGTTAACCTGTAATGATAAGGAAAGACTATGCCATGAGAGTTCAACTTCAATCAGTAGTTAAAATAAATTAAATAAAACAATTATATTATGAGTTTTACCGTGGGACAGCCATGGATACAGCCATAAATAGATAGTTCGATCGGAGTGATGTTAATGGAGGTCAAACCTCCAGACCCCAGACTCCCGAAGGGGGATTCAAAGGGAGTAAACTCATTTGTGTCTCTTGAGTTACAGGTATCCATTGGCGGTGGTAATCACTTACCATCAGATGACCCGTATGCTTGTTTGCCCTCTTATCTCATAAAAAATCTAACTGTTTGACAAAAAAATATGGATATTAAAAAAAAAAAATGTAGAGCCAGCACATACAAGATCATACTATGGGATTTTGATAACAGGACTGTATGGCAGAAAACTTCAATTTCAAATATTACCTGTAACCCCAATGAGTTAAGGAATCAGAAAATAGATAGAGCAATTTCACAGATTTGATTATGTTTTAGGTTGTTGATGAATATTGTTGAAGACAACTTTATCATCCGACCTCAGGATTATACGTCAACCTTCAGTAACGCTGTTAATGGCAACGAAGAAAATACTCAGATCGTTCTTGAGTTCATTCAACAGAACCTAGCCCTGGTTGCAAACGCGTAAGTTTTTTTGACAGCTGTCAACTTGACAGCTATTTTTTTAAACCAACTTAGGATCATCAGAGAACTATAAAAGAATTGGAAAATATGTTGTACTTTATGAAGTCAGTGGCAACTACTTAAATTATTTGACCTGATTAGATGACTTCCTGTTGGGCTAGCTGATAGTGACACTGACTAGCAGGCCCAATAGCCAGAGGTTGTGGGTTCGAATCCCACCCATCACAAATACTGTGTGGTAAACACGCTCATTTGTTCTATGTCTAATTGTAATAAATCTATAATATGTATGTATTTAGAAATATGTAAGTATGTTTTTCAGCTATCTGGTTACCATAGTTTGGGATCAGACAGTCGTGTGTGAGACGTGTGAGGTTATTATATAAGGTTATATGTGACTTTAGTTTTTTTTGCCTGGTTTTCTCTATTATTACACGCTTTATATTAGCTTCACTTGTATGTTTGTTTGTAACCGACTCCTTTGGGCGTTCTAAAAACTAAAAAAGAAATTAAAAAACTTTTATAGAAGACCAAACTAAAAAATAGAGGGGTGCTTTTTACTGTCAACAAGCCACAAACGCTTTTTTTTCAATTTTTTTAAAATTTATTTTCTATTGTATGTTTTATTTTTAATTTTGGTATTGGAACAGTCAACTGGGTTCACAACTTCACGATTTTCGATTTTGTAATTACACATGACAAACTGTTTATAGCTGTAATTGTATTGTTATAATTAACACTTATATTTATATTTTTAATGTGTGATAAACATTATGTCATATTGTGATTATAATAACATATCAACACATAATTATAAAGATGTTGTTTCTTTTTCAGTTTCGGTGGTTCTGTCGCGACCCCCATGTCTTACGTCCTTGCCAGATTGAGATCACAGGCGGCCGTCAATAATGTAATTTTTTCCTATATTTATTAACATATTATAGATGTAAAAGTTAAGACAAAGATTTTCATATTTAATAAATTTAAATATGAAAATCTTTGACTTAACAATTTTTTCGACTGTCACCTCCAGAGTGACGGGTTCGATTCCTGATAACTGCAAATGGTTAAAGCCTTTTTATTTTATATTTAAATATATATAAAGAAAGGTAAACATACCTACGGGTACTACTACGGGACGTGTTTTATGACCCGTAGTACCAACCTTATTTGTTTTTAAGATAGAGTTGGTATTATTTGAACATAGTCTACAGTTTTATCAGTGTGGTGACAGATTAAGCATACGGAGTATTACAACCCAGATTCTCACGTAGGTGTCGTAAGAGCCGACTAGGAGAACAAACTACGAATGACAAAAGCACTGCCAAGAGAGGGAAAACTTGAAACAAAGCTTATACCAACCCGTCTAGGCAGCGTGTTGTAGTATGCCAAAACCTCTTTTCTAAGAAGAGGCCTATGTCCAGCAGTGGACTACTAAAGGCTGTTGATGTAATGATGATATAGTTTAATATCGTATTTTTAACTTACAGGCAAGAACTTGGGCATTTATAAACCAACAAGCTCTAGGAACTGCATACAACAGTGTGTTGAATAATATTGCTTCAGCTGAGAGTAGTATTAACTGGGCAGTATCAATCCAACCAAATCTCAGTTCATATTTGGTGGGCGGAGGTGATCCCATCGAAACATCCACACCTGAACCTGTGACAACAGCTAACGTCAGCACCACAGAACAACCGCTCATAACGATGCCAGTTACACCCTCATTGCCAACTACGCCATCCTCTGCAACAACCAGTTTCGTCACAGCCGCAACGATAGTAATGGTTATGTTAGCAAATACCATTTTATAAACGAGGATTATATTATCAGATTATGTTCATGTGATAACATAATCATTGATATTATAAATAAAACTGTTTATTGTAAGGTCAATTTATAAGCTACTTAAACATCTATAGTAATATTAATTTATGCGAGATCAATGTGTAAAATTTCATGAAGTGTATTTACGTTATTGATAAGATTTTTTTATTTATTAAAAATATTTTTATACTGAGTATATTTTTTATTTCACAAATTTTAAAAATTTCTGCAAATTGGAGCTTTTACGAGTCGTCATCTCGCCAGAGCCAAACGTGGAGGTTGTTTGTCCCTAGTTGCACCCTAGAAAGGCAATCCCTGGAAGCATAAATTAATTTTACATTAGTCGTATTTAATACAGAAGAAAAAACAAAAATGAAGTAACCAGAATTAAGTTAGTTATGAAAATCACTCATAAAACAGTGTCATATCCGTGTCCGAAGTCCGAATCAAATTAAATAAAACCTCGTCTTAAAAGTTTATACTATAAAATTTTATATCAACCTTCTTTATTGATATTTTGACATGTATAGAAAACTTATAGTACGTCACAAAACTATATAGAGTGTAGATAAATCGCAATACATCTGGCCCATTAATTAAATAAATTATTTAAATAATTAGCTTTAAGACTTAAATGAAGTAATCTTAATTAGCCTTAAAGACAATATTGTGATATTCTTATTTTCAAAAATCGTTTGTACTATTTTGATATATGGTATACAGTTCGTATGATATATGGCAAATTAAAGCAAACCTAAGCAAAACGATGGAATAGTCGTCTGTTATAAAAATACACCTAACCATTAGTGCAGTTGAACTAAGCCTCTTCGATTGCAACTATCTTATTGGCACAATACAACAAAATTGATCTGTAATGCAATATATGTATAACACTATTAAGCTCGTGATTCTAAACTAATACAGACTCATAGCTCAATGGCTTTGAAAATATTCTTCATTCACTTACATTTGACGTAAAAATCATAGATGTTAAATGTGTCAATAAGCCTAAATAATAGTTATTTGAACAGTGAAAAATAATATGATGAAGAGTTACATAATGCAAATATAGGATAAGCGACTTAAGCTGCGGATAACTCCTTGTACTGATATGACTATACGATAGGCATAATCAGTATTATTCACCATTTTCAAATCCATTTCCATATTTTATTTAGGATTGGCGCAATGTGTATTATAGCAAAAGCTTTTAGTTTTTTAAAGCAAATCGCTTATAAATATTACAAAGGAAGAAAGTAAATTAAGGTGACTAAAAAAAAAGGCTGACAGAGGCTTGATAAAGAGATAAAATTGCGGAAACAGCGTAATTAACTAATTATAGGGATAAAAAGCGGTTTTCTTATAGCATAAAAGTTACAGGAAATTCTAAAATTAGAGGTGTACACCTTATATTTACAAAAAGTTACCCTACTAGACGATTTCAATGGTCCATGTAGGTCATTATAAAATTACACATCCATCTGAACTTATGGTGTACCACAGGGCAGCATATTAGGTCCCCCTTAAATCCTTATATGGTAAATATACCTTATATTTATGATACAAGTAATTTGGTGACATCAACCAAAATATTTATTTACTTAAAGCAGGGGCCATGTGGTGAAGCATGTAATACCTATTCCCCTTGTAGCATGTTGCTGGCATAGACTCACGAAGAAATATACAAATACATAACATAGGCATCTATACAAATTAATTATCTTACTACAATATAAGTAATTTAGTTATACTATAAACGAGCTTATACAAAAGAAACCGAAATGACCGTGGGAGAGCCATGCTTCGGCACGAATGGGCCGCCTCAACCGGAGTGATACCACTGCCTCACAGAAAACTGGTGTCAAGCAATTCTTTCGTTGCCTTTCACTGAGTGAGTGAGGTTACCGGAGCCCAAATCCCTCCTTCCGATGATTCGAGTGGGAGGGACTCCAACGGCGGCAACGTACTTGTGACTTTTGAGTTGCAGGTGTCCATGGGCGGCGGTAGTTACTTACCATCAGGTGACCCGTCTACTCGTTTGCCCCCTTTTACCATAAAGAAAAGAAACTTGAAAATTGCAATTAACTAAGCAATAATTTCTACCGCTTACGCCTTGGATAAAGTTTCCATGTCCAGCAAGTTATAGTTACAAGATGTATAGAAGCAATTACACTCGAATCTTTATAAATGGTAATATTTTGTCCTTCGCTACAGCTTCCCGGAGTACGATCTGGAAGAAGACCAAAGACCTGGAAGAAAACGTGCAATGTTTCGGCAGACGATGTTAGGGACAGCGCGAAGTGGAAAAAGTATACTAAGCGGACCGACCCCACTACCATGTGGGTCGAATAGTTGGGAAGAAAGAGAGCTACACCTCTTTGGCTTACTTCATGGTTGCAGATTATTTAGATGACAAACTTGCTTGGGATGGATGCTGCTCACTACATCATTGTTATTATGCTTGAATAAGGTAGACATTTCAAGTATTGGTGTATTTCGTATTTTAGTAAGTTCATTTGTATAGTATATTTTTTGTGTAAGTATGTAAATGTGAGTTTAGTGTAGGCTTGTAATGAATGAACTATCATATATAGTAACTTTTTGGTGGTTTTGAGTGTTTCCACGGTCTACTCAAATCTCTTGCTGGCGGTAGTGTCCACTTTGGGTCGTTTATCTTAAATAATATCGGTCAAGCTACACGATGGTTGGGGCCCGTATGCCGTCTGTATGGACAGGCAGTCTCAAATCTATGGTCCTTTCTTCAAAAGGTCTACACAGACCATATACGTACTATATACTGTACTGTGAGTGAGTCTTAGGAAATGCAGGCTCTATCTAACTGTAAAGTAAGACTTATAAAAATATCGGGAAAGATTTACTTACAGAAATACATATCATTTATCATTTGTTTGTTGTCACACCATAGCACTTTACTAAATATTAATAAAATAAACATTATGTCGTATATAGCAAAGGGAACTTGTGATGCGCAGTTGTTAAATATTGTAAATTGTTATGTAGAATATTCTTCGAGGTTTATCTAACATAAATACCATATCCATCAATTTCAGACTATATTGTATAGTATTGTATTGTGTGTATTGTATTGTATTATATATACTATATTGTATATTGGTAAGTTGTCACTGACATTATTCACACAAGAAGAATATCTGTCTGTTTCTAATAGGAAATCAAATAATAAACTTTTTACTAAACACAAATAAGCGTTTGCGCAATATAATATAAACAAAACACTTTTTTAGTTCAACAATATAAATAAACTTGACTATAAAATCGTTATGTAATCTTTATTTTATTTGTACCGAAAATGTCAGATTTTACGAAATTAAAAAACAAATAACAAATATAACAAGGAGTTTTCGGTAAGTCGTCCTCAGAGCATTGACACCCGATAGATAATGTACAAATAAAGACTTATCTAACAGTTTGTGTGCGTGTGCACCAAAAGAGAACATGAAAGATGACAACGCATATTGAGTTCGTAGAAACAATAATAAGGGACCTTAAATAACATCATTTAAACGTTGCAAATAGTAGGTTAATGATATTTCTCGTAAAACCCTAAACTATCGAATTGATTGCAGTAGACGTTAGTCTAAATAATAAATTTTATAGGTTATAAATTTATCTATTGCTTTAACTTGTGGAGCTCACACCACCACTTCAAATTTGATCCGTCCATTCAAAGGTTGACAGGAAGAGTTAAGGTCGCCTCGTCTACATTATTTTTGCTGTACATTTTATGCTTTACAATGTCTTCAAAAACTCTAGTGTACAAATAAAGTTTTATCTATAGGCCTTCTGCTTCTTCTTCAGCCTTTAGTTACCCATTTTTAGGTTCGGCCTCTTAATGAGTACGCCAACCATTGAGGTTCTGGCCTTTCGCATTCACCCCGCTTCCTACTATTTTCACGATGTCGTCGACTCAGCGCTGCACTGAGCACGCTGACTTCTGACAATGCGGCCTCTCCAGGCCGGAGTCTCCACTCAGCAACCTTAAGGGACCATCTGCCATTTATTCTGCGGCTAATGTGGCCAGCCCATCTCCACTTTAATCTGCACGGATGGCGTAGTGGTTTAAGCGGTCACCAAGCCGTTTCCTACTACGCTGAGTGCTGTGGGTTTGAACCCCACATGGGAGAATACTTTGTGTGATCCACAAACTGTTGTTCTGAGTCTGGGTAAACTTTGTGTCTATTTCATGTAGGTTTATAAAGTCCCCCGCGACACAGGTTATAATCCTAATGCTGAAGTTGTTTTCATAAAATATCTAGACACTTTAATGGCTATGTCACTTTAGTGCGTTAAAGTTGTGTATACTCGTATCACCAGTTCAAATTGTTTGTGCAAAGGTTATCTAGGAGAGTGAAAGCCGCCTTTTGTACATTACTTTCGCAATTTTTTTATGCTTTATAATATCTGTTAAAACCCTGGTGTAGAAATTCAGTACTATCTGTCTACGATGTCCTAACTAGCTATTTGCTTGAACAAAGCTGGAGCTGGAACAAAGAGTAATGTGAACTCAAGGTAATCTGGAGATAGGCGACCTTACAGAGATGAAATGTTTTACAACCCTATCTAAACTTTTTAAGGACTTTTGATTGAACTGGAGTACAATGAGTAAATGGACGAATCCACTAAACTTGTGCATCAGTTTGAATTCAAGATACTCTAGAGCTGGGCTACCTTACAGAGATAAAAAAAAAAACATTCCTATCTAAACTTTTTAAGAATTATCTAGATTTTTCTTTTGCGTTTTGCACTGGTCAGCGTGATATTGTAGGCCAAAACCTCTTTTCTAAGGATAGGCACTTCTCCTTAAACTGAACATAGGTTCAGCAGTGGACTATTAAAGGCTGTTGATGATGATGCTGAAAATTTATCATGTTTACTTTTCTTTCCTCATTGATTTTTTGACTTATTTATAGCCATTTATAAGTAATTAATATAAAACCTAAACTACAGTTTTATCAAGCAGGATTACTAAATTATGACCCAATATAAATGATATAACTGATTAAAAAGTTTAGTCATCAAATAAATTTATAATATCGTTAATAATGACACATTTAAGCACTTGATACAGTATTTCTTAAGTTAAGTTTAGTCCAGTTAATCCAGTGCTATGGTACCAAAACAAAAATCACAATACCGATGGAAATCGAAAGAATTATGATAAAATTGACAGAGTGTAATTGAGTGTTAAAATTTACAGTATCCTTGTTCCATCGCAAAGCCATCACTTTCCCATGGTAGGCCGCAAACTATTAGAGAATCCAGTTAAGCCCTCTTTTTTCCTGTACGAAAATCCTCGGGGATACCATCTTGGTCGTTATGTACTCGAACCGGCTAAAAACAGTACGCCGTCTCGAGAGCTAGTAGCCGGGGGACCAGGAAACCTTGTAATCTGACGGACCCCAGGTCATCTACGGCTTGTGTGGGAACCACGCACCCTTTAACATAACATCGTTATCTGCCTACCCTTATCCCAATTTCATTTGGGGTCGTCGCAGTATGTATGATTCTTCCATTTTACTCTTTCATTAGTCATGTCACCGCGTAACGGGAATGGCCGAGGGCAAAAAAGAAGTTTCATCATTTCAATGTTTAGCCCTTTCCTAGCCATATCCTCAATCACACAGTCCATCTACCTTTTCTTTGGTCTTTCAGTCTCCCAACGTCCAACTCCCATATCTAACACTTTCTTCGCCACATTTTCCTCATCCCTCCGCATGACATGTCCATACCAAGATAACCAAGATAAACTAAACCAGACACACCCCTAAACATAACAAATTGCGCCAATTTAAATATAAAATTAGGCAAAGGCAAAAATATATTGATGATAATGTTTTGCTGTCCTTATAGTTTTAGATCAATTCTTTTTTTTATGACAACTCCGGCAATAGGAATAAATCTTTTGTCGCTGAGGACTTTACAAACCTACATGAAACAGACACAAAGTACACCCAGACTCAGAACAACAATTTGTGGAACACACAAAGTGTTGTTCCATTTGGGGATCGATCCCACAACACACGCAGTAGGAAGCGGCGAGGTGACCGCTTAAACCACTACGCCAACCGTGCAGTCAATTGTTATGGTTTTTCGAGGCTGCATATACTTTTGTAAAAATAGGAACTATGACCATTCAAGATAAGATTTCCAAAGATCATTAAGTAAGCATCTAAATGTAATAATACCTATATAAGTTGTTTACATATTGCTGTAAGTTGTATTGCACTTACAGCTGAGTAACAATAATTGGTACATTTTGTATCTCGAATGATTATGACGGTATCTAACAGTACTTATGACCAATAAAGTCCTGTTATCATGCATCATTATATTTATTCCCAATATTTTAATTTAGATTAGATAAGTGACATTGTGATAGGGATTGGTTAATGTAACGAAATAATCGAGTTAGTATTTTTATTTTAGTAAAGGCCAGCTAGAAGATGGTGAGTACTACATTAAAATATGTGTTTACTAAAGAGTTTTTATTAAACACTAGCTGAAAATTTGTTATATTTTGTTTGCAAAGACTAGATTTGATCATTTAACCACTGAAATATTACTGGACCTTTTGTTAAAAAGAAACAAAAAAATATATATTTAACGTTTATAATATTCTAACCCGAACACTTATTATTTTTATATTCATATGTTATTTCTAGTAAATAGTAACGTGTTAAGCAAAAATAAATTAAATTAGTAAAGGGGTACATGAAAGGTCAAAAAGAAAAAAATATATAAAGTGTGTAATTCTTCATTTGGATCCCAAGGGTGGCATAATTGATCTGATGACTGAGCTTCTAATGCTGCCACACACAACTTTTAAAGTTTTAGCCGCATTTAATTGCCGTTTTCTAATATCTGACTATTTCATTTGTTTTACCTATAATGACAACCAAAGTATAAAATAAAACAGTTAAAATATTAGAAAAAAAAAAATTCCTATAAAGGGTTAACTAAACAAATTTTCTAAAATCAGGATATTTCTGCGCCGTTTTGTTACACCGTGTAAAAGATGTATCTTCAAGAAAATAAAGTTGTTCAAGATTGGCAGCACATTCGTGTTTCATGAGTTATAGATGTTTATTACCATAGTTTGCCTCCTATATTATAAAAGAAATGTGTTATTATGCTTAATTTACACAGTAAATTCAGTTTTTTTTTCGTACATAATCAAAATATTTGCAGTCTGAAGATTAGTCGACTAATTGTAGACGTTAGGTTGTATTTTAAGAAAAGTATTTTAAACTTTTGTCGGTTATGTGAAGAAATGCTGTTTTTATGTTAAAAATCGTCATTTTAATCACATTATAATTTTAGTATTCTTAATTAATTTGTGGAGAATTTCTTAATATTATTATCCTTTTGTCTATTCTCATATTGTTTTTAAGCTTCAAAGAAGTAAAAGCATACAGATATAGACACAGCAAGATTTTCGTAGAGATTTCGTAAAAGGCATCAAATTATTATAAAATTTCAAACAGGATAAACAACAAAACATATTATTAAAATGTTTTGTAAAATTTTGTACAATAATCTATTACCTAACCATGGAATTAGATAATGCGGTTATCTAATTCCATGGTGAGGTAAATTTTGAATTACAACTATAAAAATTAGAATCTGCAATGGTCACGAAATAACATCATAAATGTCATCCATTTATATTCCTATATTATTTACTTGTAAACGAGATTAAACTAAAAATTTGTATTTTTAGGCTCTTCGCTGGTTTAGCCTCTTTTTGGGGTTAATAGCCCTTCAAGGCTACCTCGCCTTCAGCCCACTTCCGGAAGAAAATTGGGATGAAGAATGGGCTACATTCGCACAGACGATGTCAGATCCCGCTTACCGCCTCCCTAACTCTACAACCCCCAGCCGTTATGAAGTAACCCTTTCCCCATATTTGACGACTGTTCCAGCAAGTGTCCAAAATGCGTCACCATTTACGTTCGATGGTACTGTAGCAATAACTATCAGGGCTACACAGCAAAATGTCAATGAAATTGTTCTTCACTGTAATGATTTGACAATTTCATCACTAACGGTATCTCTTGCTAGTACACCAGCTACAAATATAGCTGTAAACCAGGCATATCAATGTCAAATGCCCTGGAGTTTCTTAAGAATTCCTTTGACTACAACCCTACAAATAAACCAGGACTATATCATTTCGAGCACATTCAAAGGCATCCTGCAGACTAATATGAGAGGATTCTACAGGAGCTGGTACATTGACCAGAGTGGCCAAAGGAGGTATATATATTTTTATGGATAGGCTGAGAAATTGTCATACCATTGCATGACAATTTCTCAAATTCGGAATGAAATTTAAGAATTGTAAATTTGTAAATTATCTCGATAATAATAACTTACAATAACTGTTTTTTACTCAATGATTTGATCAAATTGCGCCGATCGTTGATATTTTAAATTCACTGTCACCCATGACTATGGTCGGAGCAATCTTCATGTATTATTTCATTAAGAATATTTAAAATAAGATACTGTTATTATTTTCTATTCTGTTTACTTGTAATTGAGGGTATATCCATATTTAACAAAACAACATAATAAAACAATAACAGGAACGTAAGAAGGCGTCGCTAACCGACACAGTTAGTGCAAGATAAATAAAAGAATTTTAGGAAGCCGACACAAAGTAAGTTCAGATGGATTTGACCGATCAACGTTTTTTAAATATTTCTTTTTTTTTTCATACAATCTAGATGGATGGCGACCACCCAATTTCAGCCTGGACATGCACGTCAAGCATTTCCATGCTACGATGAACCTGGATTTAAGGCCTTTTTTGACATCACCATAGTCAGAGAGTCTGATTTTAGTCCAACGCTTGGAAATATGCCCATAAGAAGTAACGCAACGTGAGTTTTTTAACCAGTTCTGTTTTGTTTGTTGTTGTTGTTTGTTTTGTTTTCAGTTCTTTTTTTAAAAGTGGCATGAAATAAATTCTTTCGAATTTACATCAATTTCAATGCATATAATGTTTGCATGTGGTCAATGCCTGTGTACGAGAAATACTCTTTTTCTTTACAGTCTCAGTGATGGAAGAATTTCAGAAACATTCTACACTACTACTCTCACTTCCACTTACTTACTGGCCTTTATTGTCTCACACTACACTGTAGTGGCCAGTGGTACAGACCCATTACGGCCCTTCTACATCTATGCTAGAAATAATGTTGTTGATGAAGGCGACTGGTCTTTAGAAATTGGTGAAAAACTACTGGTTGCTATGGAGAACTACACGGGCTACCCGTATTATACAATGGCCAATAACATTATCATGCAGCAAGCTGCTATACCTGACTTTTCTGCTGGAGCAATGGAAAACTGGGGTCTTTTGACTTATAGGTAAATTAAAATTATTTGTTACTTACTTTATAAGTCATACTTTTGATTAAAATCATAAATTTCTTAAAAAGGCTTAAGTGATTATTTTTTATACTATTGTACTACTCATATTGCGTTCATTGTTTTATGACAAATACCTTATTTAAAGAATGTTTGGCTGGCTTTGTATAAAAATTATTTATATTTTTAAACCTGATATCTCTTTTATAACAGTTTTGTTTTAATAGGGAAGCTCTAATCTTGTACGATCCGTTGAAGTCGAATCATTTCTATAAGCAACGTGTTGCCAACATCGTGTCACATGAAGTCGCTCATATGTGGTTCGGTAATCTCGTCACCTGCGCCTGGTGGGATAATCTCTGGCTAAACGAGGGTTTCGCTAGATATTATCAGTATTATTTGACTGCTAGGGTAAGTATTCCACACGGCTTGAACTGTTAACTACTTATTATAATCACACACACACACACACACACACACACACAATCACATGTCCGTGTGGTGACGGATTAAGAATATAAAATGTCACCACCCCTATTCATCCCGTGGGTGTCGTAAGAGGCGACTAAGGGAGTAAACTACGCAGGACAACAGCACTGCAGAGAGAGAGAAAATTTGACACAAACCCTATACCAACCTGTCTGGCCAGCGTAGTACAGTAGGCCAAAACCTCCTTTCTAAGGAGAGGCCTATGTCCAGCAGTGGACTAGTAAAGACTGTTGATGATGATGATGATAATCACACAGACATTTGAATACGCTGATCTCAATAATTGTCAGACTGTCAGGAGCTGTCATTTTCTAAAACATAAGTGCGGTGGCTTGCAATACTTAGGGACAGACGATACAACACTTATTATCAAACGATAATTATGTTGCTTTGGATGTTAAATAATTTATGGTAGATATAAAATACATACGTTTATTGTCAAGTAGATAGCAACTAAAAAAATGTCAGCATCGATATTCAGTCTTAATTTTTTTCCAATGAAGTCAAACAGATGTAAACATATACTCACGCATATACCTGAAAGAATGGGCAGAGACGGTTTAATCAATGAGACTTTGCAAACTATGATTTGATCCTACTTAGGTAATAAGAGAAACGCTGTCAATCGTTCCTTTGGGAATTGAATATGGGGTTATTCAAAGTAAAACTTTACATAGTATAGAATAAAGTCGCTTGTGTATGTTGTACGCTTAGATCTTTTAAACCAAGTAACGAATTTTAATGTGATTTTGACCAGTAAAGAGAGTGATTCAAGAGGAAGGTTTATATATATGTATAATACATGTATATTCAAGTAGAGAAAATCCGAGAATTTTAAAGAATTGTCGTAAAAACATGGTTTTATCCGCTTACATTGCAAACGATACGTTAGATACGTTGCGCATTTAATGTAGATTAAAATTGCTCTTTACAGCATATTATAAAAAGGAATATTTTAGAAGATATTAGAGGATTAAAATGCGGGGATAAAGTCGGCGGCCGGTCGCCGCGTCGGGTCGTACGTCTGTCCCGGGTGGCTTGATCGGAGCGGACCTATAAATATTGCATAATAATATAAAGATGTCCTGTAGTCCTAACATAATTATAGTATAATTAATTACTTTACAGTGACATCGTGTTAGTAGTATAAGCAGTATCTACATTGCAACCGTGCGAAAGTGGGGTGGATCGCTAATTAAAATATAAAAGTTTTTAAGAAAGGTTTATACCCATGAACTATCTAGCATAGCAATACATCTAATAGATCGAGATCGTGTTCTTATAACTCAAACTGGCAGATGTTAGAATTTATTAATCTGAGATTTATATCATATTATCTAGTCTTTGTCTGTGAGTTTGTTTGCATTGATATCAGTTTCGTTCATTATTTTGAGATGATAAAAAGCAGCCCACGAGCTATTTCAAACTATATTCTATCTTTGTGCTTAATTTTATCCAGATTCCTTTAGTCATTTCGGTGTGATTCAGTAACAAGCATCCATGCCAATTTTCATATTTATAATAGTAGTGAGACAATTTGCTTGATAGATTTCAGTACTACGACTTTAACATAATGTTTTAGCAGTGATCGCCCCATACCCATCAGTGAAATATTGAAAAATTTGCGGTAAAACGTTAGTATGTAGTAATACACCATACATACACTATCCTTAATATTAATATAATAATACACACCGATTGATAAAGGAAAATAAAAGTTATTTTCTTTGTTCACCACCAGGTTGCGCCAGATTTAGGCTACGAAACTCGATTCATCGTCGAGCAATTACACGTATCTCTGCTTTCCGACTCAGTGGACAGTGCTCACGCTCTCACAAATCCTGCAGTTAATGATCCCACTTCTGTTTCTGCTCACTTCTCACAAATCACCTACGGCAAGGGTGCTTGTGTACTTAGAATGACTCAGCACTTATTAAGCGACAGCACATATGAAAAAGCATTAAGGAACTACATACGACAAAAGTGAGTTTATTATTTGTTCTTGTCAGTTAAGATTAAGATAAGTGAATTTACTTTAAAAGTTTCTTGAATTCGTAGCGCTTTTGATGTAGCTGAGCCAGATGATTTGTTCACTGCATTGGATGGTGCTGCTGCTGAAGATAATGCACTAACTGATTATGGAAGTATCACCGTCAGGGATTACATAAGAACTTGGAGTGAGCAAGGTGGACATCCTTTGTTGACCGTAGCTGTTGACCATGACACTGGACGTATGACTGTTACACAGGTAACATCTGTAATATTAATAGGAACTTAAGATACACGTTATTACCTTGAAAGAGCCAAGCTTCGACACATTTGTGGCATATTGGCCAGCTTGACTGGAGTGAACCCACGGCTCCAAAGAATACTGTTAATCAATTTTGAGTGAGGTCATAATACGATGCCGGTTGTATACCGACCAAAGCATGGCTCTCTTACAGTTACTGACTGTCTGACTAATGGACTGGATAATTAACATCTGTGAATGTAATATGTCTCATTATTACAGCGGCGTTTTAACGTCAATACCGGCGTGTCTGAAATTCCAAGTGTATGGCTCATACCTCTTACTTGGACCAGAGCTGGAGCAGTCGATTTCGATAATCTCAAGCCTTCACAGATTATGTCGGCTGAACCAATCATCATTGAAAGAGTTACTAGGGGTAGAGAATGGGTTATTTTCAACAAGCAACAATCTGGTGAGATATTTTAAATCAGTTCAAGTGATTAAGCTACGACAAGAACATGTTAAATTGTTGAATGTCCGCTATATATGAGTTTTGCTGATTTTAGGATTCTACAGAGTAAACTATGATACAGTTACCTGGTCTCTTATTACTCAGGCGCTTAGAGACAATTCGCGAAGGAACCAAATACATGAATACAACCGTGCACAGGTAAAGAAAAAAAATGAAGTCTAATTTTTACTAGATTTTTCACTGAGTGAAAGGAGGAGGTTCGCGTTTCGGCTGTAGGTTTTTTTATCATTAGTAATATTTACAAACTGATTTAAAAAAAAAAAAACATTTGAAAATGTTTTTTTCTCGTTCGGTCCTATGCAAAGTTGAATATTTTTTTACTATGTATATACAATTTTTTACTATGTAAATACTATAGTAGGCCAAAACCTCCTTTCTAAGGAGAGGCCTATGTCCAGCAGTGGACTATTAAAAGCTGTTGATGTGATGTGATGATACAATTTGGGTAACAGAACGTATTAATTTAACTTAAATTTAATGATACACACTTTAAAATTAGACCTTTTTATTTCTATTGTTTGCTTTAACCTATGTTGTTTTACACTATATTGTGTACTGTGACAGCAACATAATCTAAGGTATTATATTTTAATTCAGATCGTCGATGATGTGTTCATCATGGCTAGAGCTGGCCTTTTGTCTTACACAAGGGCGTTCAATATCCTCTCGTTCCTCGAATTTGAAGATCAATATGCACCTTGGATTGCGGCTATTGCTGGATTCAACTTCTCTAGACGACGTTTAGCCCACAATGCCACTCTTTTGGCTGAATTAGAGGTAATGGACAATAATTTCTATTTATTTTCGTTTCACGACAGACATTACTGCTGCTGATAGGTAAACTATGTACTTAAATACTTTAAATGCTAAACAAAAACGATGTAAGCTGCACATTGTTTTTGTTTAGCATTTAAAGTAATTAAGTACATATTTGGATTTACCATATTTATAGTTAGAAAGTTCATTTTGTTTTACCTTTAACTTACAATAAAACTTACAGCTACATGAATCTTTTAAATATTTAGTATTATTTTTTAATATTATTTAATATTAATAATAAAATTTATATTATTTAATATTAATTTAGTAATAACTTTACCTGAAAGATTGTTACCTCAGATTTTACCATGCTGGTTTTTTCATATATTGATGTATTGTGTAATATTATACTTTAACATTATCTTTTAGTCAAACATCCATACCTTAAGCAGAGCGGTAACTGCACGTCTAGGTTTTAGCGAGAGACCAAACGAAAGCTACATGGATGGACTTTTACGTATGTACGTCAACACTTTCCTATGCAACATTGGTCACGCAGAGTGCGTCGAAGCCGGCAGGACTAATTTCGCTAATTGGAGACAGAACAACGCATAGTAAGTGCTTTATTGTACTTTAATTTTACTTAAATCCGTTTCATGTATGTTTGTAAAGTCCCCCGCGACACAGGATTTGTTCCTAATGCGGGAGTTGTCTTTTAAAAAAAAAAAAAAAAAAAAAAGAAAAAAAAAAAAAAATTATAATACTTTAGTAACAAGACTAATTTCTAGTTTATGGTATTCAGTTTATATTCTAAAAATATATATATACGCTTATCTTTAACAGTATCCCACCGAACATGCGTCCCTGGGTTTACTGCACTGGTCTCCGCTATGGTACTGCTGAAGATTTTACATTCTTTTGGACTCAATATCTTCAGGAAGACTTAGCCAGCGAGCAGGTTGTTATGCTTACTGCGGCCGGTTGCACAAGAGATCAAAATAGTTTGGGAATATTCTTGAACGCCATCACGGCTGGTTCCAATGACTATACCATCAGGGATCAAGATTATTCTACTGCACTTAATTCAGCTCTCACCAGTAATGAGGAGAATACTTTAGTGGCGTTTGAGTGGCTACAACAAAACTTTCAAAGGACTGCAGCAGCGTAAGCAAAATAACTTAATTATTTTTATCAACCTAAAATTAAAAAAAACATTCTAAAATTTATTTCATCTAGATAAGATAGAACAAATGTCATATGGATTTACATGTGTATTGTAGTTGTTAAAACCATTAATATTATGTTTACTGCATACACGTTACATAATTTTAAGGCAGTGTGCTATTATAAAAATAGTCTAATTACAGGGTTTACAGAAACCCTATTGCATATATTTAGAGCAGGTACCTAATTAAATAAAATGACCTTTTTCTCTCTCATACAGCTTTTGTAACTATAGATTGTTGGGTATACTTGTGAGCACCCGCACAAATCCGATTGTTAAAAAGATTTCTATCCGTATGAGTAGTAGTTTTAAAGGATCTGGCATATTACTACTCGCGACAGTACTCACTGGCTAAGAAACAGAGGCGGTCTTCAATAAAATGAAGGCAGAATATGTCTGTGCTTTTTTTATAATTTGCTGAAAATTACATGTATATTAAATAAGACACCTAGTAACATGGAATGTATTTGTCTGATTTCAAATGTTCTATTTCAGACTTGGCAGCATTAATTCCCCACTGTCTACAATTACATCACGTCTACTTAATGAACAACAAATCACAGAGGTATAATTATTTTTTTATCTAAACACATATTCGAAATTTACTTTTTTTGGATGTTACTCAAATTACATATTTTTATTTTTAGGTCTCCAATTGGTTACAAGTAAACCAAGCGTTGATTGGCCAATCAGCTTACAACAGTGGCATGAATGGAATTAATTCAGCCAGGAACAACATCCAATGGTATAACCGAAGAGTTTCTGAATACCAGAGCTATTTTGAAACTGGGTATGTGGACGACCTACTTGAAGATAGCACTACATCGTCGACGTCGACGACAACACAAGCACCTACAACAGTACCGACCACGCCTCCAGACGGCAACGGAGCAAGTCGGATTCAACCAATATTGCTATTCTTAGTTCCGTTAGGTTGTTTGTGTAAATATATTATGCTATAAAGGCAGTCAATCAGTTTTAAAAATTAAAAAAAATATAAGTTTATATTTTGACAAGAAGGTAGTTGTGAGAAATACAAATAAAATCGTTTAACAACAAATTACTGATAACATATATTTGTATAAAATTTGTATATTTTTTGTATAATAAATATGTAAAGTTAGAAAAAAATTGTATTCTGTTTTTTTTTTTTTATATTTTTCGTCTGCTTTAGCTCAAAACTAGTACCTAGAAATACAAGTTTTAAATATTCTACCTTTCAATTTCAAAATTAATCTAACCATCTAAAAATTGTGTCATCATTTCATCATCAACAGCCTCATATATGGTGTCTATTTCTCCCCCAACCGGAGTTTGAACGACTTCGAGGTTTTCCTAACCAGCTTGGAGACCTCGATACGGCGACTAGCGTCTGGGCACGTCCTTGTGCTGGGGGACTTCAACGCAAAGTCCATTGCGTGGGGATCCCCCAGGACGGACGCAAGGGGCGAGGCCGTAGAGGAGTGGGCGGCCTCGGTGGGCCTCTGTCTTCTAAACAGAGGCTCCACCAACACGTGCGTGCGACAGCAGGGGGGGTCGATAGTGGACCTCTCGTTCGCTACCCCTGCCCTCGCCGCACGAGTAAGGAACTGGCGTGTCCTGGAAGAGGTTGAGACGCTCTCGGATCACCTGTATCGATGGTCAACTCGGTCCTCGTACCGGTTCGGGCCCAGATGAAATATCTGGGCCTGATCCTCGACGGGAGGTGGCTCTTCGACGAGCACTTCCGACAGCTTGCTCCAAAGCTGGTCGGCGCTGCGTCTGCCCTAGGGCGACTTTTGCCCAATATGGGTGGACCCAGCGTCGCGACAAGACGGCTGTACACGGGGGTTGTCCGGTCAATGGCACTGTACGGTGCACCGGTGTGGGCGGCGGCTCTGACCGCCCAGAATAGGGTACGCCTCTGGCGCCCTCAGAGGGTAATGGCGGTCAGAGCCATACGCGGTTACCGCACCGTTTCTACGGAGGTGGCATGCGCGTTGGCCGGAACTCCCCCGTGGGATTTGGAGGCGGAAGTGCTCGCCGAAGTTTATCGGCGAGTGGCTGACTCCCGGGCGGAGAGCGGATTTCGCCCTCCGCCCGAGGATGTGCGCGAGTGGCGCGAAGCCGCTCGCCGAGCCACGATGGCTCGTTGGTCGTTCCGGCTGGAGACTCCACGCGCTGGCTTCGCCGCCGTGGAGGCTCTCCAGCCGGTCATCGCCGAGTGGGCAGGGCGGCAGCACGGGACCCTTTCCTTCCGGCTGACGCAGGTGCTTTCCGGGCACGGTTGCTTCGGAAAGTACCTGCACTCGGTCGCTAGGAGGGAACTGAGTCCCGCCTGCCACCACTGCGACTGCAGTGAGGACTCGGCCCAGCACACGCTGGCGGTCTGCCCCGCATGGGCGGCGCAGCGCCGGGCCCTCACTGCAGTCATCGGAGTGGATCTCTCGCTACCGGCCGTAGTACGCTCCATGGCCGGTAGCGACAGTTGTTTTACCGCGGTCGCAACCTTCTGCGAGGTAGTAATCTCGCGGAAGGAGGCGGCGGAGAGGGCCCGGGAGGACGACCTCCACTCGGACCCGATCCGCCGCCGGCGAACCGGGTGGCGGAGGCCCGCCTACCACAGCCTCATGCCGCCCTGAGTGTGGCCGCGGGTGGACGGGGTGGGTTTCCCCTCCACCCGCATTAGTTTGGCCAGCAGCGAGGGGGCGGCGTCCGCGTGTGCCGGACGTCGCCTAAAGAGAGGAACAAAAACATTGAGACGGAGCCCGCACCAGGAGCGGGCTGGCGCTAGGAGGGGTCCGGATGTCTTAACAACAGCTGTTCCCGGATCCCTCCTGTTACAGGCGCAGAGTGGCACACCGTGTGGTTTTAGTCGGTCCGAGTCCGACACACCACCCCGCCGCAAACCCCGGAGGGGTGACGGTCCGAGGGGATTTCCACACGTTAAAAAAAAAAAAAAAAAAAAAAAAGGCTTCGTTTCAAGTTTGCCTTCTCTTTGCAGTGCTGTTGTCCTGCGTAGTTAACTCCCTTAGTTGCCTCTTACGACACCCACGGGATGAATAGGGGTGGCGACATTCCATAATTATAATCCGTATCCGTAACCACACGGTCATCATTTAGATATTTCTTAAACTAATCCCATTATAAATTTCATGAGATTAACTCCATGCCATCATTTACATCTAGAACTTGTAGGATAAAATGGCAACACCCACGTACAACAAAATCTACCAAACAAGTTCAAGTACAATATAACTAGTAACCCTGTATCGCGCAATGACTCACGCGCATTAAAAGGGACTGCGTCTGAGATATACTCCATTTGGATAGGTATAATATCCGTTCATTGACATCAGGTAATAATATGAAGAAGATAAACAAACCTGCTTAATAAAAAGAGAGGCCTATGTCCAGCAGTTGACTATTAAAAGCTGTTGATGTGATGATGACATGTGATGATTAGAAAATATTGTGGATCATCATGTACTGGAAAGTAAACCAGTAGCATAATTAGACGTTTTTTTATTAGAGTAGATTACAAGCAGGAGTATCAAGATAACTTGGTTTGATTGTTGAAATTAAAAATTCCAAAATTAATAGAAAAATATGGGTTCCTGTTTTAAAATCGTACTAAAACGCTTATTTTTGTTACTCAATGATAAATAATAAACTAAAACAATAATAAACTAGTAATATGATAAGTCGTATTTATTAGGATAAATTACTGCACGAATGGCGTAGTGGTTTAAGTGGTCTCCTCGCCGCTTCTTGAGTGTTGTGGGTAAAATCCCCACATGGGACAACACTTTTCACAAATTGTTGATTTGAGTCTGAGTGTTCTTTGAGTCCGTGTCATGTATGTTTGTAAAGTCTACCGCGCACCAGGATATGTTCCTAATGCGGGAGTTGTCTTTTGAAAAAAGAAAGAGAAAAGAAATAGCATAAAACTTAAATTAATCACAGGAAAACACAAATACATCCAGTACCTTAACATTGGCAAGTGACACTCAATGGCGGTGATAGTTTTTAAGCGATTTGTCATTGAAATATGCAAAGACAACTTGAATGAGTTTATTGAAATTATTCAGTAGTAACATAATGACTTACAACCTATTTATCTGTTTCATCATCATCATCATCAACAGCCTTTACTAGTCCACTGCTGGACATAGGCCTCTCCTTAGAAAGAAGGTTTTGGCCTACTATACCACGCTGGCTAGACGGGTTGGTATAGGGTTTGTGTCAAGTTTTCCTTCTCTCTGCAGTGCTATTGTCTTGCGTAGTTTGCTCCCTTAGTCGCCTCTTACGCCACCCAGGGGATGAATAGGGGTGGTGACAGTCTGTTTTCTTAATCCGTCACCACACGGAGCTTTTATCAGTTTAATAACATTTAATTCAGTTAATTTAATCAATAAGGTCAAATTGTTTATTTTAAACCTATAATAAAATTATAAATGCGAAGGTGTCTATCTATCTGTCTGCTATCTCTTCACGCTTAAACCGCTGAACCCATTTGGATGAAATTTGGTATGGAGATAGTTTGAGTCCGAGTACAGGATGTAGGATAGTTTTTATCTATAAAATCATCCATAAGGGTGTGAACAGGGGGTGAAAGGTGGAAGTTTGTAAGAAGAATCTATAACCGCTGAACCGATTCAAATGAAATTTGGTATGGAGATAGTTTGATTCTTAAGAAAGGACATAGGCTTTTACAGCGATAACCGACATACAAGTTGGCGGAGCCGCGGGCAAAAACTAGTAAGAAATAAAACGATCGATTTACCTTTAGCGTTCCTTTACATCTAATCTATATTAATTTAGATATTACTTTTAAACAGTATTTTACCCTTACCCTGCTTATTATGATTCAATTTTTTTCGTCTTTTACTTTCAGTACTACTCGTAATATAATTTATAAAAAAATTGGGAATGTACAACTCGGTACCAATTTGGTTGATGTCCTTAATAAACCGGTTAAATCCGTATCGATCCAATAGTTTATTATCATCACTCTAAGTAACAGCACCTATTTTCTTTTTCTAGAGATTTGTATTTTGTATGGAATTTTGCCTAGTAGGAAGTCTGTCTACATTTTATATGTCAGATGACTATTACTTAAACTTTAAATTGAGTCTTAGTCCAGTTTATAACTTATAAAATCTTTTCTAATTTCACCAATGAACAATAATTGATTGAATGAACATTAATTGTTAGGGGTGAATTCTTTGTCCCTTACAAGGAATCTACCCAAGGATCTTACGATCTAAATATAATGATGATCTATTGCAGAATACAGCATACTTGTATCTACGATTTTAGTTTAAAGTGAATATAGTGTAGTCTGGCAGAATTAACAATATTACAAGAGCATTGTGAAGAATAGTTATACGTCATTAAACCTAGAGACATATAGTTTTTTTTTTAAACACAACTTCCGAATTATTAACATATCCTGTGTCGCGGAGGACTTTACAGACTCACATGAAACGGACACAAACAACACCCAGACTCAGAACAACATTTTAATGATCACATAAAGTGTAGTCCCATGTGGGGATCGAACCCATAACACTCAGCGTAGTAGGAAGCGGCATGGCGACCGCTTAAACCACATCCGTGCAGTAAATAGAAAACTATTACTGGCCTGAAACACCATTGATTAAATTCACCTCTTGTTATCTTATAAAATATTTTATTAAAACATAAATATTATGCTTATAATTTTGAGTTATAAATATACGATAGTTATAATCTTGGAATTGAGCAACAATTTGACTGAATGAACAATAATATTAACAAAAACGCTAGCTGCGCTATTCCTTCCATGACAATTCAAGAACATTGTACGGGCAATGCACCCGCACATTGTCGTGTCAGCATATTACGCCAACACGTACATTTTACTCATTAGCAATAAGTAGTACATATCAAGCTTCGTACTCAAACGGTTGACCTAACAAGAGTGTCATTAACCCGTATC